CATGAAGTTTTACAATTTCAAAAACTTAACTTTTCTCATAAGATAAAACTATAAAATTAAAAAAAACTACACATGCTCTATACGCTCATGTAATTTCCCTTCTTTAACCCTGTTTTTATTGAACAAAAAGAGACAGAGAAAAGGACAGAGACTGATTTTAAAAAAAGTTGCTAAGGGAGTCCGCAGGTCAGAACTCAGATGTTTATACTACGTGTTATAGTTTCATTCCTTCATACTAAAAAATGCTGAAAAAGTTACTCAGTATGCTAAAAGTTCCTTTTGTTTTTTTCTTTTCCACGTCAATTTTCTCCCTTTCCTTTCAGGACTCAGAAGTATACTTGCAACACCAGAAAAATGCCTTCAGAGCTGCATGGTTCCTCACCTGTTTGGCATCTTTCCACAGGCCTGAAGACTGGGGGGATGAGGGCCCTGCTGCTTTATACTCACAGTCGAGGTTAAGTAGCCTACAAATAATCTTCTAGAATTTCTTGAACTCACTGCAATCAGGTTTTTCTCTCCTCCACTGCAAAGAAATGGCTCTTTTCAAAGTCATCAATTCTATGTTGCCAAACCCAACTCTTAATTCTCAGTCAACACCTCCTCAGACCTCTGAGTGCAATTCACACAAACGACCAAGCCCTCCAGAGGCACTCGTACTTACCTGGCTGTGTCCCACCCAGCTGTGGCCATTAGGCACTCATGTTTGCCCGGCAGTGCCCCACTATGCTGTAACCAAGACCCTCACCCGGATGTCATATAGACCCAGCTGCAGCTGCACTCTCGACTTCTCACACTGTGGTTGACATATACCGCTGCAAAAGAATTTTCTATTCTGCTTCTCTATTTTCAACCCTGAGACAAAGCCATAACCACATAAGATCATAAGACCATTTACCTTGCCCTGTTACAAAAACCCAGAAATGCTATGATATAAAAATAATGGCCCTCCTGCATTCGGGGCTCATCCTTTGGACAAGAGTCCATTGAGCCAATGCCGGCATATCAGTAAACTCTGTTTTCTTGTTTTAAGCCTTGGTGTTTCCTGCCTCTCCCTACAAGCTCACAGTAACTCACTGCAACACTCCTCTTTGAAGCAATTTCTCCACTTGAACTCCAGGACCCAACTCCTTGTTCCTTCCCTTCCCTAACTGTCCACTTTCTATCTCCTTTGTTTTCCCAAGTCTCTAACTGTCATTCTCTTTTTTGCCTGCATTTACGTACAAGGTGGTCTCACTCAGACATAGGGCTTTCAATGCTCCCTGTGCACAATGCTGCTCACATTTGCATCTCCAGCCTGGACCTTTCCTCTAAATGCCAGGCTGTATAGCCAACAGGCTACTTGACATTTCTACCCAGGCATCTAATGGTATCTTAAACTTGCATGTCTAAAACTAAACTCCTCCAAATCTTCTCTTTCCTGAGTCTTCTCCAGCACAGTCAAGTCAATGTCCATTCTTCCAGAGTTCAGGCCAAAAACTGGAGTTTCATCTCTGACTCACTTTCCTTTCACACAACAAATCTTGTTGGTGCTGCCATCAAACTATCCAGAACTCGGCCAGTCCTGACTTCCTCTGCCATTTCCACCCAGGCTGCGATCACCTCTCCCAGTTGCACCTTTTAAAAGGAATTCAGATAATATCACTCCTTGGTTCAAAACCCTCCACCAGCTTCTCATCTCACTTAGAGAAAAAAACTCTGGTTCCTCCTATGGCTGATGGCACTTCATAATCCAAACCAACCTGCTCTCTGGCCTCACCTCCTACAGCTCTGCCCTTGCCCATCGCCCTGCTACCACACCACCTCAGTGGCGCCAGAGAAGTGTCTTTAGCTCTGCTGGTAACAAACTCCAATTTCCTCTTGACTTGCCCCTTCTTTTATTTGAGTCTTTGCTGAAATGTTACTTTATTGGAGAGGCCGCCTCCCTAGCCAACATTCTCTTTGCCTTTACCTGCTTTACGTTTCTTCTTGCATCTGCTGCCACATGAAGTATTATGCATGTATCTCTTTACTCTTCTATCTCTTCTAACAAGAATGTAGAGTAAGTGAGAAGGGCTTTGCTTGTTCACTGCTGTCTGCAGGGTGGAGGGCCAGTGCTCTGCACTTAGAAGAGGGTGGGGGATTAATAAATATTTGGTGAAGGGATGAATAAATGAAGTAGCTCAAAGGTAAAAAGTGGAGTTCTGGCTAATTATTACTTGCTTTCCTTTCTTTGGTGCATGGCAAATAATCTCCATGAGAACAATTTCAAAGCAGACAGCAGCAATTTCAAAGCAGAAACAAAAAGTGTGGGAGAGGAACAAATAATTGAAGACTATGGTTCTACTCCGGGGTGGTATAAGAATCACCTGGAACATTTAAAAAATACAGAGGCCCATGCTTAACCACTGAAGACTTAGGAAATGAAGGTATAAGCAGTGCAACTGTATTTTTTCAAATTCCTGAAGTGCTTCAGATGTCCGATCCCTGTTAAAACCATTTATTGAATGGAAGAGTCTCAAAGGCATGTGGTAAAGTGTGCAGTAAATAAAATAACACGTTTGTTTTTTTAAAACCCACATACCTGACTGAGGACTCAAAAATATTGTTGTTTTTTGTTTCTTTTTGTCTTCATGTAAAAGCACTGCCTAAAAAATGAAATAGACTGGTTTACAAAATCGAAAGGAACAGCACCCAAAACAGCCTTAAAACTGAAACCATATCCAAGGAGAGCTGAAATTAGGCAAATGGGTGGCAGAATTTTGCAAGTTAATTGAAAAGCAAGATCATCTGCAGGAGTGCTTAAACAGGACCCTGCCACCCAGTGCCAGCAAGCCTCACCTGAGCCAGCAAATGAGCGGCACATAGACCGGCAGGGGTGAGGGTTAGTCAGAAGGAAGGAGGGCCCAGCACAAAGCTAAAAGCACTCAGCAAGTGCTGTTTGAATACACAGGTGACAGAGAAGCTTCCTTCTCAGGTTCGAGCTGGGTTTACCTGAACAAAAGTACCAGTTGGTCTCAAAGGGCTAGGTGAAGGGGATCCAAATACACAGTCTGATTTAGACATACCTAAAGAGATAAATTAGCACTTTTTGTTCCTACTTTAAATTGAAAGCAGCAGTCCTGTTTTCAAACTTACACAGAAAGATATTCTGTTGATATAACAGAAGCTCTACTCAGTATATTGCGTGGACAAAATAATAATAAATTTGAAGAAATGAGAGGGAGCAGCATAATTTCTAGACAGGAAGAAGATTATTTTTAATTGCTACCAAAGGAATTCACCATACTCGATCCCCACTCCTCCCTTCTTATTTCACTTTTATAATATGATGACTACTTACTTTAATGTGTGAATACTGCATTCTGAAGAAACCAAGTTTCTCGCTGGGTGCTTTCCCTTGAGTATGATAATCCTCTAGCTTCCAGGGTACCCCTTCCCTCTTTGATTAGCAGCTGCCCCCGCAGGTGGCCAGAAGGACTGCTCTGCCTCTTTTGAGAGCTTCACTAGTAAACAACTTAAACCTTGCTACTAGCTAGCAAGAAGAAATCCGTCAAAGCTGGGGGAACTTTACCACTTTGTTGTACCAAAGAGGAACACAATGATAATCTGCTTCATGCAATTAGTAAGCACAGAACTTGAGTTCTTATAAAGAGTAGCCTACAAAAATAATTTTGGTAAAACTATATTAAATCTTATCTCTGTTTAGTTTCCTCACCTGGAAACTGCGGATATTAGTGCCACCACATTTAATGAAGCTGTTGTGAAAAGTAAATTAAATGAGATTATCCATGGAAAATACTTAAAATAGTGTCTGACCCATAGGAAATGCTTGATGAATGTTAGCAATTATTATTATTTTAATTTCTTTTAAATACATTTTCCTCTTATGATCATAAAAGAAAATCATTTTATTCTGGTGTATGTCCTATGTCAGGGCAAAGTTCTGAGTTCCTTAGAAGTAGGGTAAAATTTGGACCATATGAGCTAGCCAAAGGTCTATCTTCCATAAACATTTAAGCCCTTGTAAAATGGAAGAGAGGAAATAGTGTTTAAGAACTATAAACACTGGATTACAGTGCTGACTTTTTCTTTATGCTGTCTGCAAACATATACAATTGAGGACAGCAACAGGGTTAACTACTTTAATTAAAAAAATAATTACTTCCCAGGTTTTTTTCTTCCCTATGCTTATCAAATTTCATCTAATTGCATGGATTTGTTCTGGGAAGAAAAGTGAGAGTGTATAAATTGCGTTATAAATCAAATTTATTACAAACACAAGGTACCCTCACTTGCAGTAGTGCATTTTAAAAATGCCCATTACAAACACTCAACCCATTTAGTAAAAATGGCAAATTCAAATCCAACAAATTAAAGGGTCAATATTTGTGAGTGATTTTGAACCACTGACTGATAGTATATTGTCTCCTCATCATAATAATTATGCTCACTTGTAGAAAATTACTAAAATGATAAAATCTAAAAAAGTCCTAATTTCCTCTGCAGATATAACCACTGTTAACTGCGCAGCACATTTCCTTCTGTCCCTTTTCTATGCATGTGCCTGTAGGTATTTAAACAGGAGCACCAGTGGCTCGCCTGTATACACAGCATGGTGTCCTGAAGGAACTTTGGCTACTGCCGCCCCATTGGCCATGGTGCTTTGATTCCAAAAGTGCATATACTGAGCAGTGAAGCTCAAGTTGTAGCTTGCTCTATGGTCACTGGGGCTACATTTTTAGGTACCAGGAATGATTAGAGATTTTCATCTCACTGATAATCTTAGAAAAACCTACCAAATGACTTTCATAAGACTCTAAATAAACCCAGGAATAAGGGTTTAAGACATACAATGAATCAGAACTAAAGGGGGACATATTTCACTTTCTAAAAACGAAATCTTTTCTCGAGTAAATGTATTTGTTAAAAAGGTAAACATAACTAAAACAGCGGAAAACTCTAAAAAGGAGATTTCCCTTGAGATGTTAGTGCATACATCAAGGTGTGACAGGTGTCCATACCTGCAGAGCCTTTAAACTGTGGGCATTCCTTTTTAATGTGCCCTTCTCTTCCACAAATAAAACAACGTTTTTCTCTCAAGTCTTTGTCATCCTGTCTCTTCCATTTTTCCACTGATGGCCTGATAACCTTCTCCCTCCCCAGGTCGACTGCTACCCTCACTGGTTTGGCTTTCTGAGGTGTGCACTGCATGGGCTTATCTTCTCTTGTTGGCACCTCTCTTTCTGTGTACTTGTTTTGAATTTCTTTGTCCTCTTTGCTTCTTTTTTCTTTGTTCTCAGGGTATCTTTGGTTCAGGGTATCTTCCTGATCTCGCCGTCGCCGTACTCTATAGAAGATATAATATTAGTAAAAAAAAAAAAAAAATCTAAACAGAAACCTAATAAAAAGATAACTCCAGGTATAGGAGATAATCAAGAATAGAAAGGGAAAAACAAGAGTTTCACAAACTTAAGCCCATCTCTTCTATTAAGAAGCTATCTCAGGGCTTCTTTTTCATTTTCAAAGTTGCTCTAGTGCTATAAAACCAATTTTTGCCATTAGTGGAACTCCTTGGTTCAATGCCTACTTTGACAGTGAGGTAGTGAAACTCAAATTATCCTTGGGGTGATTTGTTCAATAGCCTTTCTGACACATTAGCATTCTTTACCAGGCACCGGAAATTTGAGATGTGAAACTAAGTTCAGAAGGGAACAGTGGTTATTAAGGAGATTCCAAAATCCTTTCTTCCTTCCTCTATACTATCGCTGACTATTATGTGAATAATAATAATAATAAAAAGTACTAAAAAACAGCTCCTCAAATTCCAATGGTGACTAGAATCTTTTTAAATTAAGAATATTATCGCACAGTTAAAAACACCACCACTATCACCCAAAACAACATGCCCTAAGCAAGCAACCAAAAACATGTCCCCCCTCCCCAGCCAAATATCCCAGAAGATAGCATGGTGACCAAACCGAGCAGCTCACCTGCTCCCAGCAGTGACTAAGGGCTGAGGCTCAGCACAAATGAAGGGCCCTCCACTGCAGTATACTCAGTACAAATCCCAAGTGTGCTACACCTCAGTTACTGTACATTAGAAAGGGAACGGATTCTGAAGGAACTCATTTGACTGTTCATTAACTGAAATGATTTTGAACTTCTCACTGCTGTAAAAGGGAAGAATATTAGTTTTATTCTTCTTCTGTTCCTGTTGGAAAGGCTAATTAATGATTAGAGCCATGACATTAGAAAAGGGGACCAGGCCTGGAAGACTGTCACCTGTACACCCGCGTCAACCCTGGTCATCTGCACTTAAAGCCATGTTTTAAATCACTTCATTTTCATTATTAAAACAAAAACGAAGCCCTTAAATTTATCTGAAAACTGCTGGATTTCATATAAGTTTATTTTCTCTATTACAATAGAACCTCATTTAAAAACGGGGACAGTAAGAAAATAAAAACACAAACACCTCTTTTGAACATTTACTTACTTTCTCCTCATAGGACAGTCCTTCATGAAGTGTCCAATTTTCCCACAAATTCGACAACATCTATCATTTGGGGCCAGCTCTCCCTCAGTTAGTACATCTGGATCAAAAAAATACTCCTAGAAGAACATAAAAATATAAAAGCCTGAACTATAATGTGAGATCAAGACACAAAAACCAGGCATTAAACAATCATCTTACATCTCAATGTTGACACATCATTATTTGTAAAAAACATTATTTATAATGCTTAATTCCAAATAAAATCTAAAACCATCAAGAGGTGTAATTCAGGACAATTTTACTTAAATTCACTTTTGTTTACTCCTTTTAGTCATGCAGAGCACTGCTCAACCCTAACCCTAAAGGTTTAGTGCATTTCTTTTTATTTATTTATTTATTTATTTATTTTTATTTTGTCAATATACAATGTAGTTAGTTATTGTGTCCCATCACCAAAGCCTCCCTCCCTCCTCCCTCTCCCCCCTCCCACCCAGATGTCGCATTTCTAAATAAGAGCATTACACATTCCTGTGAGTCAGCTTCCCCACGACTCGGGAGAAAGTTAAGGCTGGGTACAAAGGCTTCTTTTTCTCACACAACAAAAAGGCTAAAACCTAATAAACTGAGGAACATGATTTGTATTACGCAGATTGTACTGAGATAAAGAAAAAACTGTATGTTGCTACTTTGTTTTGTTTTGGCTTATGAAGGAAAAATAACATTAAAAAGGAAAGTCAATGGTCTGGACTCTGGCCTCTAAAATTAAGGTGGGGACCAGCAGCATTGGCATCACCTGGGGATTTGTCGGAAATGCAGAATCTTGGGCCTCAAACCAGACCTACTCAACCAGAATCTGCATTTTAACAAAATCCTAGGTGACTTGTTTGAACAAGTTTCAGAAGCACAGGTGTAGAAGACTGCTACAGCAATATCTAGCTAAAACCAGATGTACAAATGCAATCAAATGCTGAATGTGCCTGTAGAGCCATATACTGAAGGCTCATTAAAAAAGTCTTTTGGGGAGTTCTGGTCAAAATGAAGGAACAGACAGTTTCCAGTGTCACTCTCTCCCACAAATCAACCAATTTACAACTATAAAAATGTAACATCAGCCAAGCTGGGGCCGCTGGAGTTCAGGGGAAGAGGAGGAGAGACCTACAGAGTTCATGAAGGCAGGAGAAACCATGATGAGAAAAAGAAAAAACTGCTCTGATGGTTTTGTGCTGCAGCCACTTTAAGGCTGGAGCTGCTGAGCACATGGAGCAGGAACTGGCAGAAGCTGTGCCCTTCAGATGGAGTTACTTGGAGGTGGCAGGGGAGAAGAGGGCCTTGGCAGCCCCTAGGACAGCAAGACTGCTAATATGGTTCCTGTGGACTCATGCAGGAGCGAGGAGCCAGAACAACTGAAAAAAGGAGCCATTCAGAGGCTGGTGAGTCATCACAAGGGACTGACACAGGGACTAATGCAGTGCCCGTCCCATGGGGAGTGTTTGGAACACAGGCGATGGGGGAGACAGGCCCACTGGGAGAACACTGTGACACAACAAGGACAGCCAACCCACCTCCCAATCAGTGAAGGACCACTCAGAGGAGACAGATTGGGAATGCAGAATTGCATGGGGTGCAGTTTGATGAAAAAACTCAAGTCTAGATCAGAGTTTCTACACAACCCAGATCCACCGGGTCTCTGGAGAGCCAGAAATACCTATAAGGTCAACCATTAAATGCTGAGCTGCACAAAAAGCCTTCCCTAGGGAAACAGCAACAAAGCAGCAATTTAGCTCAACCACACAGCTCAAGTACTGGTTCCCACAGGAAGTCCCCCCATTTTAGAAGTAAGTAAAGGACAAAAAATTAGTTCCGGCCCAGGCACACCACCAGCTCCTTGGGGCCTGCCTGGGAACAGGAGGCTTGGAGCAGGGGACCAGACCCCACTCCCACAACCAGGCACACAGTGCCAGTGCCTCGGGGCCTGCCTGGGGACCCGAGGTATGGAGCCAGGGACTGGACACCACCCCCCCCCAATCAGGCACACCACACCAGAGCCTCAGGACCTGCCCAGGTGCCCAAGGTATGGATCTGGGACCAGACCCCCCACCCCGCAACCAGGCACGGCACGCCAGGGCCACGGGGCCCACCTGGGGACCCGAGGCATGGAGCCGGGACCCGAGGCATGGAGCCGGGACCCAAGGCATGGAGCCAGGGACCAGACACGCCCCACAACCAGGCACACCGCCAGCACCAAGGAGCATACCAAAAACATCACCTACAAGTGGGTGGCCTACCACAGCCACCACAATAACCACAGCTGCCAGGAAAGCAGCTAGACACCACAGCCACCACGGAGATGGTCTGCCAACCAGTGCTGTGCATTGACACAAGGAGAGTCACCAGCAGAGATAAAGAAGAGGATGTCTCTCTCCAGAAAGCCCATCCTTAAGTGACAGAAGAATCAGCTGCTCTATGATAATATTGGGGGACCTGATCACACCTCTCAGCATTGGACAGATCATCAAGGCAACAAATCAACAGAGTAACCATTATTCTTTCAGAAGGAGAGAAGAAATCTAGGACAATTAGAGGGGGTAGGGGGAGTTTCAGACACAGACAGGAGGAATAAATTTTGAGATCTACTGCACAGCAGTGTGACTGTAGTCATTAATAATGTATTGTATATTTCAAAATAAATGAGAATCTCAAATGTCTCACCATAAAAACAGGTAAGTAAGTGAGGTGGTGGATATGTTTAGTTTGATTCCGTCATTCCATATTGTATACATATGTCAAAACATCACATTGTACCCTATATATGTATACAATTATGTTAATAAGAAAAGAATGAAATCCTGTCATTTGCTGTAACATGGATAAGGCTTGGAGGACATTATGGTAAGTGAAACAAGCCAGGCAAACAAAAACAAATACTGCATGATGTCACTCATATGTTGAACATAAAGACGTTGATCTCATAGAAGTAGAGAGTAGAAATAGTGGCTACCAGAGGTTGGGAAGGGTAAGGAGGAGCGAGAAAGAGAAAAGGTTGGTCAATGGATACAAAGTCACAGGTAGATAGGAGAAATAAGTTCTAGCATTCCATTGCACAGTAGAGTGACTACAGTTTAACAAAGTAGAGAGTAGAAATAGTGGCTACCAGAGGTTGGGAAGGGTAAGGAGGAGCGAGAAAGAGGAAAGGTTGGTCAATGGATACAAAGTCACAGGTAGATAGGAGAAATAAGTTCTAGCATTCCATTGCACAGTAGAGTGACTACAGTTTAACGCTTACATATTGTATCTTTCAAAATACCTAGAAGAGAGGATTTTGAATGTTCTCATCACAAAGAAATGATAAATGTATGAGGTAATATGCTAATTACCCTAATTTGATTATTACACATCATACACATCTATTGAAAATCACACTGTACCCCATAAATATGTACAATTATTATGAGTCAATTTAAAAAAAGCTTTTAAAAAGGAAAAAAAAATTGTCATATACTTCCTTGTAATATTAAGAAAACTAATGTAGGAAAAAAAGAAACTACTATTCTTAACAAAACTGTCTAGTCCCTAACCATCTCTCTCTCCCTGAAACACTTTATAACATAACTTTTTTTTTGTTTTTCATGAGTGTAGTTCCTTAGAGCCCAAGTGTCAGGTTAAATGAGAACAGACAGTTCTCTAGTCCAGGTGGCACCGTCAGTCTCCTAGCCCCATTAAGGGGATTTACTATTCTTTGCAAGCAGATTGGAACGTCTGGATTCATATGAGGAGGGTGGAAGATGTTCTCAGATACGTACAAACTGGGCTTGGCCGAGGCTGGCATGAAGCTGAATGCTGGTGGAACAGCAGTGCCACCTGTGAAGGTTGGCACAGATAACCAGGAACAGAAGGTATCAAAGAGAAAAACAAGAATTAAACAAATTTACACCTATCTTCTCTATTAAGCTAACTCAGGTGAAGCTAAACGGTATAGTTTTACTTTTCCATCCTCAAAGGTGCTCTAATGCTGGTATGTGTTTCCTTGGTACACATTACCAAGGAAAATCAGCAGCAGCACCAAAGTCATTAATTTTCCCACCCAAACTCCACTTCTTGCTATTTCTCCCTGTTCTCCTAATGAATGGCCTCTAAACAAGGATGCTAAAACAGGTGTCTTTAGGAATTATTTTGTATTGTAACCGTTTGGCTAGATGTAACAGACTTACAGAGGATTTAAGTTATTCCTGACTTCACTTTGGATTTAAGTTATTAGTAAAAATTAGGATCTTTTAAATTTTTTAAAAAATATTTCCAACAGACACTTACCATTTTTGAGGGGTAGTCTTTTGGCAATCCTTTGACTGGAATACCAAATACTCTTCTACCATTGATAAAAGCTTTCATTATAAAATTTGTCACTAAGAAGAAAAGAGTATGAGCTCAATTAGATTAATTAAAGGGAAAAGAGACTGTATTAAAAATGACAAAGTAACTTACTTTTCCTTGATAATCCAGCTCCAAGATTATGATTCAAATCAAAGGGATCTAAGTAAGGAAAATTAAGAAGAACAGATAAGATAATCAAATAGGAAATGCCATTATTCATCCAATAAGCAAGGTCCACATAAAATGAAGAAATTACAACCTACTTTGCTTATGATTAGTAAAAGTATTAAATGACTGGCTTAAAACCTATAATACAGCTAAATAATGTGTATTCCTACATATAAGGCAAGTTTTTTCTCAAAAGTGTTCATCAGAAAAGAGGGTGTTCTTTGTATTTAAATGTTTATGAAGTCTTGCATATTATGACAGTTTACCTAATTTTGAACAAAATACTATTTGGAGAAGACACATTAACTTGATATTACTTAATGATGCTAGTTTTGGATGCATAAAGAAGTCACAAATACATTTAAAACATTTTAGCCCTGAATGTTCCTGCTAAGTAGCAATTCTCTTTAAAGATCACTTTAGAAAATATTTCATGATAGAGATCATAAAACACACTTTTATAACACAAATTAAAACACGAACAACACATACGCCTCTCCCATTGGTATGCCAATGGCTAGTTGGATTTCAGGATACAATTTCCAGTAAAAGCTTCATATAAAGTCTCCCATATGATCTGAAATGTCTGCATCTCAAACGTCTTAAGATAGCTGTATATATGATGTTTTGAATATTATTTGTTAGATGACCCAGAAAGTAGTAGGAATGATAAAAGCACCAATTCTAAATCCAATTACTATTTTACAGATAATTAAAAACAACATATATACATAATGATTCATAATTTACAGACATTACATAAAGATATTTTCCTTCACATGTTAAAAAAATATTCAAGAAGGCAAAGAAAAAAAAATGAGAGGACTCTCTTTTTGGTAATCTTCTCAAGAAAATGGAAGAATGCATGTATATAGTATATACTAAACAAGTAAAAAAGTAAAAAGAGGCACCCTTCTGCTTGTCATTTATGCTTCTAATAGACATAACTGAGGTGCACCATGTTGGGAATCAGACTAACAGTTTGATGACGTATAGGACAGTTCCCTCAGCTTAACCCTATACTAATAGTTGCTATGAGAAGGGTACCTTCTTAGTCAGTTTGGTCATGCTTCCAGTGATTTGTGTGTGTGCATGTGTGGATGTATTTTGGTTGTTTGCTTGGTGTAGTAGAGATACTACAACATTAGCAATATGTACAATATTGTACAGTTAAAAACACTATGATTACCGCTAATGAAATTACTCAATTCTAGAATAGTCGATTATATAATCATGAAGTCTTTTTTTTAGTTTAGCCTATTACTAATAGCCCATCTAAAAGTAATGTAAAAATTAAAAGCAAAAGATAATAAGGTTTCAAAAATTCAAAACAAAACATTACTAAGTGGCAGACCATAATGGGACCGCTGCACTGCATGTTCTGAGCAGCAGCTGCTGGCTGCCTGGAAGAGCTCTGTGAGGAGGAAGAGCAACGCCCCATTAACAGAGATATGCTCTATTCAACTTTCTGTCTGATTTTATTTGTACCTTCAATAACAATGTATTTTGAGGTCCACTGTTTCTTAAAAGTTGTAAGCAGACTTTTTCTCCTGATGCTAATAACATGTTCTTTAAAATCAAATTCCTCTGTGTAGAAACGAAGAAGTCCCAACCATAGTTGTCCAACAGATTCTGTATTTTTTCCATATTCTGGCCAATAGGTAGGCTAGAAATAGAAGGGAACAAGGGATAACACGCTCTATAGTAAAGTGTTAATATCAACATTCATTTGTATCTTAGGGAGCAAATCTGGACTTTTTTTTTCTTTCTTTTTTTTTTTAAAAGATGACCGGTAAGGGGATCTTAACCCTTGACTTGGTGTTGTCAGCACCACGCTCAGCCAGTGAGCGAACCGGCCATCCCTACGTGGGATCCGAACCCGGGGCCTTGGTGTTATTAGCACCGCACTCTACCGAGTGAGCCACGGGCCGGCCCCTATCTGGACTTATTTCTAATGAGTTTAAATACATAAAAATGTAATGATATAACTTTTCTTTTACTTTCTAAAGTACCATTTACATGAGCTTATTAATCTCTACCCTATGACCTAGAAATAAGGAGAGCTCAGTTTTCAATGTCAAACCTCAGAACAGGTTAGCAGGGAAATCCAGAAATAAATTATAAGAGCCTTGGTGATGCTTGGATAATTAGGTCTCCGTAACTCAACAAAAGTCTTTCCAAACTTGCTGTATAAAAACCACAGAGCAAATATTCACTCAGTTGGAATAAAGTTACCTAACCATTTGGAATTATTAGGCATTAAAGAAATATTGGATATACTACCTAGAAACTCACCTGGCTTAATAAAAATGTTTTTACTTCAAAGGAAACACTTGTAAATACTAGTTTTTTACTATCAAATTATGAACAGATATCACAAGCAATAATATAGTTGTTGACCATTTACACTACAACATAGTACAACTAACTTTTAGTCAAGGATGTAGAAAAATCTTTACTCTTAAGATACGTACCAGTTCATCCATTTGATCAAAAAAATAAATATTCCAGCCATCAACAAATATTTCAGGTTTCTTTTCACCTTTGTATATCTGAAATTAATTTTTAAACTATTAGTATGGATTACAAACTTAATGCATCGATACAAAAACTTCTAGGAAAATTGATAAAAATTTAATGACAGATCTGCAGAACAGGGCTCAGAGATCACCCAGTTTTACAGAAATACAATTTCTTTTACTAATACCTCTTGAAGGACAGGAATGACTGGTGGATTCCTCTGCTGGAGAAAATATAGCACCATAAGAGTGTATGCATATGATGATAAGCTGCCTCTAGATGCATCACCAATGTCACACATCTAGAGGGAAGGAAAACAAAGGACAAAGTAAAGATCACCAGTGTTTTATGCTACATTTGCAGCCATTCTATTATCACTAAAAGTAAGGTACCTATTTTGGAGGCTAATATAAAAATCACATTTTTAAAGGCTAAAATGTGTCAACAAAATCAATCTAACCCAACCTAACCCAACCAAGCAGTGGACTGTTAGCCACAAGCAAGATCAGACTATCATGTAAAATTTAAGATGACAAAATATTAACTTTCTGTGTAGCGCTTCCCAAATAGTTATAGGAAGCGTTTGACATGGCTATGGTTCATTAAAAAATACAGACTTATGTTTTCAACAAGGTCTGAAAATATAATAAAATTTCCTGATAAATTACAACAGGAAGCATACTCACCTTTGTAAATACTTTCATGGTATAGCACAAATATTTTACTCTGGGATCAATGGCTGAATAAGCAGATAAAAGCCTTGTGTTGTGAAGGGCCTGTTAAAAGGGAAATTACACTATAAGGCTATCAATTACATAAAAAAGTTTTAAGTTGGAATATTCTGAAAAGGTTTACATCGTGATTCATTTTAGGAAGAAGACAAAAGGCGGACTTTAACCTTTTTTCCCCCAAAGACAAGCTTCATTAATTTCCTAGATAATAATGAAGAATTATAAGTAACATCTAACCTCATGACTTCCATTATGTTAATATGTCCTTACTCTGAACATGTAGAAAATAAGAGCTATTAAACAATGAGTTCCCTTTAAGTAGATATAAGATTCCCCCATGACATTATATCAATTAAATGGTCTTAGGGGCCAGAGAGGTCCCATAATGCCCTGAAGCAACTGGGTGTGAGACCAAAAAAGAGTTGAGGATGCCTGCATTACACTGTGTCCATCTGAAAGTACACAGGTATCTTCAAAGACACACCCACCCACCCCCAAATTAAAACAAAGTTCAAGCCAAATGCAAGAGCCTGCTACTCTGGGGCCGGCCTGGTGGCGCACTGGAGAGTGCGCCACTTGGGAGTGTGGCGGTGCTCCCGCCGAGGGTTCGGATCCCATGTGGAGACCGGTTCCCGCTCACTGGCTGAGCGTGGTGCGGGCGCGACACCGAGGGTTGCGATCCTGTTACTGGTCAGTAAAAAAGACAAAAAGGAAAAAAAAAAAAAAAAAGAGCCTGCTACTCTGACCTGATATTAAATGAATGGTGACATTAACCAAATTCTCCATATATCCTCAGCTTCTGAACACTGCGAGGCACATAGCAAGCACTCATAACCTTAGGAATATGCAGTTGGTAAATTGTGGAGCTAGGATTCAACTCTAGGTAAGAGCAACTCCAAACTTCTACTGAACCTAGTCTATGTCAGGATAATTATCACTTCACCCATTTTGGTGATTGCAAGGATGCCAACATAAACAAGCAAGAGAGAGGATTCAGAAGAAAGGGAAGGTAGTAGTGGGGACTGGAGCATAGGAAGGCAGTAAAGAGGAAGGCGAGTTCATTCTGAAATGGTTTAAGTTTCTTCTGAGAGAGTTAGGTGGTGATATCTACAGGGTGCATTCACAGTGCTCGTATCTTTAGAACTCAGGAAAAAAGTAAGTAGGTGATAAAGAAAATTTCAGGGAAAAAGGTCTATGTGGGAGGATAGAGGGAATCTAACTTATACTGATGGGGAAGTGGGGCAATGAAGCTCCTATTTACTGATTACTTAGTATATGCTAGGCCCTGTACTTTAGTGTAGTACCTTTCTTTTTTTTTTTTTTTTTCCTTTTTGTCTTTTTTCGTGTCCGGCAATGGATCGCAACCCTCAGTGTCGCGCCTGTACCGGACCGGGACCGGCAACGGGGTCTGTATGTGGGATCCGAACCCTCGGCAGGAGCGCCGCCGCGCTCCCAAGCGGTGCAGCCACCGGGCCGGCCCTAGTGTAGTACCTTTCTTAATGTTAAATGCCTGCATTGTTATTCCCACTTTACAGATGAGGAACTGAGTAACTTTCCAGGATCACACAACCGGCAAGCAAGGAGGATTTAAACCAGAGGGTGTGTTTCCAGAACCCCCACCAAATACTGTACTTTGTCAAACTGTGTCTAAACTAGGTAGCCTTTTTCTCCATCTCCTTCCTCCCCATTCCGGAATCTGACACTGTTGACTATTATAACACTAATAAACCTGTCCTCTAGGATTTATTCGCAGCACACCAACCTTGTTCTTTTTTTTTTCCCATTCCAAAGGCTCTCTTTTTGGGCTGACTGGTTAGCTCAGTTGGTTACAGTGTGGTGCTGATAATACCAAGGTCCAGGGTTTGATCCCTATACTGGCCAGCCCCCAAATCCCCCCAAACTAACCAAACAAAAAGCAACAAGCCAACAAACCAAAGGCTCCCTTTTCAGTCTCCTTTCTTAATTTCTACCCACCAAAATCAAGACTTAATCCTCAACTTCTAGTCCAGGGTTTGATCCCTATACTGGCCAGCCCCCAAATCCCCCCAAACTAACCAAACAAAAAACCAACAAGCCAACAAACCAAAGGCTCCCTTTTCAGTCTCCTTTCTTAATTTCTACCCACCAAAATCAAGACTTAATCCTCAACTTCTCCCAGATGATCCCTTGGCACTGTGTTTTATTACTGCATTCTCTTGCTCTTGCTCTCCCTCTCAATCTCTTTCTCTTCAAGGCTTTCAATGCAAAAACTGTTTTATTTTCATCTTCTTCTGACTGACAACTCCACATTTCTAATTGCTTGTTGGACTAACTCTTGAAGATTATATCTTCATTGCAAACCGAACACCTCCACACAGGTGTTCTCTGCAAACATTCCCATTTCTAATGTACCCAGACATCAACGTTAATCTTTATTTCCTACCTGTAGGTGCTAAATCTAGAAAAAATTTCCGTAGGAATCTGTTTTTCCTTTTAGTACCACTGGCATCCTGGCTGAGTTCTTCTGCCCTGCCACCTAGACTACACCTTCCCTAAGAGAGACTACACAAGCTGCCTAAAAAGCTTACGTTTGGCTTTTATTGGGTCCCTCCCCTCCTGAAGAAACTTCAGTGGTTTCCAAATATCTACAGACTTCACCTTATCTCCTAATATTTCTCACTTAAAACTCCTCTCTAAATGTACCAGTCTTCTCACTATCCTCCAAAACATCCTATAGTAATGCTCATATTCATGTCTATTCATTCTTAGGAATGCCTTCTTTTTCTATCCTTTTCAAATAGTATTCATCATCAACTGAGATCATTAAGTACATCTCTTATGCAACTCTTTCCCATAATCTTTCTCTCTCCTCAGAAGTTACTCAATTACTCATTTTTATGAATACTACTATTACATAGTTTACAAGATTATCTTACCTCTTCTAAAGTCGATAAGCTGTCAAAGGAAAGACTTGCACAGATTTTATTTTTCCACCATCTGTAAGTGCTGGGCACATAGTAGGCACCCAATAAAATACCTGGGGAGATTGCTTTAAAGATACTATGTATTCAATATAGTCTTCTAGCTGTTATTAAATTCTTGTTCCATGCAATCTATATTCCATTATTATTATCTGTATGTCTACATCATTTCCAGTCTAAAAATGATCTTGTTTTGAGCATGGGTTCTTAGAAAATATACACTGAGGCATCAAGGGGAAAGGGACACGATGTCTATAGTTCTCAAATGGTACAGAAATAAGTTGAGAGCAAGCAAGAGATGGAATGATAAAGCAAATGTGGTAAAATGTTAACAATCAGTGGATCTGAATGAAGGCTATATACTGAATTCTTTATGCAACTTTTGCTGCTTTCCTTTAAGTTTGAAATTACTTAAAATATTTCAAAATGAAAAATCTATCTCAGTAATAAAAAACTAATAGTTGTGGCAACCTAGTACTTTAGTTTATTTGCATAACCTTTAAAGCAAAACCAAAACAAAACAGAAAACACATGATCTTTAGAGTTGGAATTCCCAAGTAAGGGAAATGCCTACTTCAATGACCAAAGGAAACTGTATCAATATGCATTTTAAAAAAACCAAAACCAAACCTAGACCAAAAAGTCCTGGTGCTTTAGATTAACTTTCATTGGGAATAAACCAAAATCAAGATTAAAAAAAAAATTAAAACAACATGATATGTACTTAAACTCCTAGAAATAAAAAATACAATGAAAAAAGGGCATCCAAGGTGTGTATTTGTGTGTGTCTAGGTGTGTGTGCATGTCCATCTCTGAGTTAAAGTCTACCCTTGACTGAAATATCAGTATGCTTTTCATGGACAGACCATGGATCTTAAGTTCCTTGAGGACAGGGACCATATCTTGTTCACCTTCATTCTCAGCTCTTAGCACAAAAGTTTGCTGAACCACATTTTAAAAGAAGATTCTCACTGTTAAACAACATCCACAGCTGCCCCTGACAGCAAAAGAATATGTTAATGGCATTTTAGCTCTGAGCATGACTTACAGAATCTATACATTTTACAGCTGTAAATACTTTAGAAATTGCCCAGTTTAGTTGTCTCAAATTACTGATGAGAAAAAAAGAGATCAAGTGAAGTAAATGGCTTGTTCAGGGTCACACACAGCCTGCTGAGCAGAACAGCTACAAACACAACCCATAACCCTGGTTCGGAGTGCTTTCTACTACACTTTACACCACTGTTAGCAACTCCTACAGTTTGACTTATACGACGTCAATAAGACAAAATGACTGCCAAAATGTCCTGCCTGTCTGGTATACACTTTGTCTTGAAATAAAACTGAGCTAGGTAATGATACACACACAAATTATCACCAATTCCTCAGTCTTTCATACTTAATCACACACCATGTTTTAAAGACACTAATATCACAAATATTCTACTAAGGAGCCACTATACAGCTTCATTGGTATTAGCAAATTCTAAGCATGCAAAACACTAATAAAAAAAGACATAAATATTTTCAAGAAGTTTGTAGAGGTACCTGGATGTTTTCTGAGAACTCTCGCCAGTTCTTCAATAGTTCTTACACAGTCCAAGCCCTGCAACAAAGATGGCACAAACAACTGAATCAAAACTGGAAGGCAGGTTCCTAAACTGGCTGTAAATAATTTCCATTACCTTCAGAAATAATGAAATTAATTTCAACTCATTCTATGTACATTTTTCCCTTTTACTCAAGTATTTCATAGGAACTATCCTAAGGATACAAAAACCACTTAACACCCTACTTCCTAATTGCTTTTGGTGGTATGACAAAGACTAAAATGAACCAGGAAGCCTCCGGACCCACAGCTTCCAGAAAAGTCTCTGAACCATGGTTGAAGTTCTCCACTTTTTCCCTGTATGTAATTATGTCACTCAGAAGCACCCAATGTACCAGAATATATACAAGACGGGGCATCTGGGTCCCATCTTATTCATTCCAGGTAGACCTTCACTATAGTTTAATTAAGAGCTGATGAATTGCTGTGGAGAGTGATTAAGCTCACATTATTTTCCCATAGGACTAGCCAAAATTATAATGCACAAATTAAAGCCATATGTCACAAATTTGAATAATATTTCAAATAAATTATACCTAAAAATATTTGGGCCGACCCTTTCACCATGAGCCCTCTTGATGATTATTCATATCCCAGAACATATTTGGAACTTTACTTCAGAAATGCCCTCAAAACTAGTTTATAAGCCTTGTAAAAAGAAAAAAAAAATCAACCTTGATGATGTACGGTAGGGTCATTCCATATATAGGACCCAATTTGCTTATCCATTTTATTCACCAAATTCAGGTTAGATCATTTTTGGCTACTTCCCCAAATCAGATACATCATCAAAACATAAAGACTTGAAACTAAGAAAAGGCATAAACAGTCTTGAGCAACAGCAGTATCACTCATATGGATATATGGCATTTGGACTGCTGTTAAGAATAAAAAAAGAATATGGACTCAACGCTTCTCAGACTTGACGCGTTTACACAGTATTTTATATTTTATCAATGCTCACATACATCAGGTGCTGGCAAACTTGTTCTGCTTTGCGGGCCATACGGCCTGTGTTACAAGTACTACACTCTGCATTTACAGAGTGATAGCAGCCATAGATAATACATAAACGAATGGGTGTGGCTCCGTTGTAGTAAAACTTTATTTACAAAGACAGGCAGTGGGCTGAATTTAGCCCTTGGGCCATAGTTTGCTGACTCCTGACATACACAGTCCAGGCTGATGTGTACAATAATCTCCTGAGGCAAAAGGAATAGGAAATATTATTTCCGCTTTATAGATTACCTACCAAAAACTACATGTTTAGGTACTGATGAAACCAAGCTGATCTCAAACTCAGGTATCTGCGCTATCATGTCAGCATTCTTATCAGCACTGACCACATTGCCTGCCTGATAAAAAACTTTTCAGGTAGCCTTGTGTAGACGTGTGCATTCAAGTCAGGCTAGTGGGACTCTGGAGAAGCTGGTTTGGCTTTGAAGAATTCTCAGATGTCACTTTCTAATCCACTTTGTTCTACAGGCGGAAAGCGTAAGCCTTTCTACACCTCATATTCATGTGTGAGCTTCTTAACATATGTGGCCAGAGACTGTGCCAAATGGCACATCCATATGATATGCCCTGACAAATTTGGAAAATACCAAGGTGTACTGTCAGTCAAGATTGGTCAAATCACACTGCCACAGCAAATGGAAGTTTTATGTGGTCACTGTACCTCAGCAGTTTCAAGTCCATTAATTGTCATACAGACGTCAAGGTCACTCTGTTTGAACCCAAATCCATTTTTGGAGGAGCCAAACAAGCTCAATTTAGTTCCTGTTAGGGATATATGAAAAGTAATAACTAATTACCTGAATACATTTAAGCTTTTGATCAAAATGGCCCTCTCATGAATCAAAAATACCCAGTTGTTAACTATCCTCTATTAATCTCATAACTATGTTCTCTAATTCACCAGTCATTTATTCTAAAATATTTTTCTCTGAAAGTTTACTTTAAATAAATACAAGCTGTATGTAGCGAGAAACAGCACCAGCTGTCACTTTATTCTTAAATGCAAGGACATTTCAAGGAAAATGTAGATCACCTCAACACAGTTAGTAATGTACGCTTACTACTTTTTAAAATAAATGCACTTTTTTAGAGGGGTGAACTTTAATTCTAAACATCTGTTAGGCTAAAACCTAGACTGCTATTGTCTTTCCTGTTGGTAAACTAGGATTTGGCAGATCAAAGACCATCCTAGGCATATCACAAAACAACTGAAACCCTGACTCCACCATCACCTCAGGATTATATCATTATTCTCAAAATCGATGTGCTTGTAATGTGTGTGCTCATTCAGAAAGGTCACGCTACCTTCCTTTTCTTTAAGATAAAAAAAATTACCTGGAAAGTCCTGTTTTATGAAATTTTCTAGGTTTTGCCGAATATGTTCACGAGCCTGATCTTCTAAAATAGTTGGAGAAAAATCCTCTGTTTAAAATAGACACATTGAGAAGAAAATACTGTTGACATTACTTGAAAAGGCTGAAAAAACTATCTTTAGAAAATAAAACTTACAAGTTTATTAAAAAAAACCCTAAAGTTTTGTGTCTTCTCAGTAGATAGCATTAGTAACGTAAAACAGAAAATGTGCTTTTTTATAAAGAATCTATCACCAAGAAAAGTTCTTGAAATGGAAACTAAACAGGGGATCTGCACCTGGGTTTCACAGTGACCCCCAAGGGTCTAGAAAGACGGCCTTCAGAGAACCCGCCAGAGTGCGAATACAAAAGCTTGTGAGCATACGCATGTTTTTATTTCCTAAGGAGAATCTAGTTTTCTTTCATAGCTCCTAACCTGCAAAAATATTTTTTAAAAAATCCACTGGTTAAGAACAAGTGTCTTCTGGCACAAATGAACACCTCAAGATGTAGCACATGAAGCATCAAGTCCCTCCATTCTAAGCAGGTGACTGCTGCTTCTTTAAATGTTTTCCCTTCATAAAACTTTAAACCTCTACACCAATTCTTCCCCAAAGTGGTATTCCTTAAAGGACTGTTGTGTAGTCTATTATTAGGGTTAATTAAAAAGTATGCCATACTCAAATTTTGGATTAAAGAGTTAAATAGGTTTCTTTACCATAACATTTCTCAGATATCTTTATTATGTCCTGGAAATCTCTAAAGGAGATTTACTGCCCCAAGGGACAGGGCAGTGTGTAGTTATTCCCTACTTGGCCCAGGAATACCTCTAGTCATGAAGTACTATTAACTGCACCGAGAAAAACATTTTAAAGAACACCAGTTGGGGAATGGTAGTACTCTAACTTTAAAACCTACAAGATCCTCCCTCTCTCTCATTCCCTCCTTGTTTTTACCATTTATTGTGTGTCCCAAATGGGGCAGGTGTAACCTAGAACACTGTGGACACAATGGAGAATGGGCCCTGTAAATGCTCAGAGAGCTAACAGGACAGTGATTCTGATGACTCTTGAGTAAATGTCAATTAAATATTCTGAAAAGTCAAAAGAAATGTAAATAACTTACTGTAACACTGGATACAAACTTGATCTAAGATATTTGAAAACTTGGGTGTTAATGGTGGCAAAGGTTCCAGCTGGATTCTTTTGAAGTCTTCGGGACAGTCCTTTTTCAGATGACCCTCTCGTTTGCATAAGCTGCACACTACTGTAGGAGACTGAAGGAAAATGGCAAAGCAAAATATGACTTAAGATAAAACTTTTATTTGCTAAATAAAGGTATCTGGAATCTTTTTAAAAAATAGTCTACTCATTACTTTCCAAAGGAATGAAAATATAAGGTGCAGCCACGCCAAATGATTTGAGAGATGGGGACACCTTTATGGTGTCCCTCAGAAGAAAAAGGTAGTTATTTTCACTACTAACAGTATTACCTTTCTCCTATGCAAATTCTCATGAGTCTTAAGGTAAGGAGGAAAGTAAATCAAGTGGTGGTATTAGGATAAAAGACGAACTCATTAACCATAACCAAAACAGGGAGAGTCCTGTTCTAGTACATAAAAATGGAAATTATGTGCATTAAAATTGTTTAAAGTTCTCCTAGTTTTATGTCTAGTAGTGGCACTGATTACCTTGCCTTTAGTGAAGATAAGTTTACTAAATTCATAGAAGAAACCAGAATGATCCACAGGTGAATTTTCCTTGCATACATTTTCTTCTTTAAGACTGATTTTATTAAGTTCTGTTAGTAGAGCTCCATCTACATGTCTTCCACCTGCTTTCAAGTCATCACGCTTAGCAGGCTTGCCTAATTCGTCTTCCTCTTCAGAGAGAGCATCCTCATCCCCTGATCCAGTGTAGGTGTTGTCTAACTCATCTTCATGAGCGATGCCATCCTTTTCTTCCCTTCGATTACTGCTGAGCCTATGTTCTTCTTCCTCTTCCTCCTCCTCCTCATCAGAGTGAATGATTTCTGATGTCTGGCCCTGTACTAAAGGGGCAAAGTAGTTTAGAGAGTCTTCTAGTTCATCAGTACCTTCTACACTTTCTTCATCAACATCAGCCTTGTCATCTAAAGTAGCAAATCCATCACACCCTTTAGCTATAGGACTGGGGAGACCTTCTAAATCCAAAGTGCTGTCTGTCTCATTATTATATGTGCTGTCACAGATTATGGGTTCTTCACATTGGCTGCTGCTTAAACCTTGACCATCAGCAGTCAGAGGATGCTTGACCTTCCTTCCAATTTTCTCTTTCCCATTTTTTATTGTTTCTTGATGGTGTACTTGAACATCCTCATAATCATGACAACTGGTCTCTGCCTGAACACAATCTGAGTTTTCCAGGTGGATGCTTGTGTGTACACTTTCCACTTCTTTCACTGGTGGGCTTCCAAAGTTTTCAGTAGTCTCTTTAAGAGTAAGTGGTTGTACCTTGCAGGTACATGCAGTTGAACTGTTGGCAGCAGGACCTTGGGTCCAAACTGAATTTTTGAGTTTATCATCTTTTGTTTGTACATCTGGATCATGATTTACTAACTCTTTAGAATGTTCTGAAACACACGTAACTGCACTCAGAGGCTTTGGAAGGCTGGATTTTGAAATTTTGTGTGGAAGAGCAAAATATTTATACGTTGTCCTTAAACAGTGAAGTATATATTCAAACACGGGTTGATTATTTAGGGTCCTTGCCACATTTCTTTTAACAGAGTAAGGATCTGTAACGAAAAAAAAAAAAAAAAATCCACCACTTCATACATTTCTACTTTATGTTTTAAAAATTAGCCTGTTGTAGATAAAAATAGACAACAAATAAACGACAGTAAAATTTATCACATATCTTATACGCTTCTTAAAAAACTGGGGGCAGGGAGTAAGAAGATAAAGTTTAAGATCAAAAAGCAATGTTTTCTAAAACATCTGCTCTATGAAGAGAACCCATTCTGTTCAGAACCAGAACCCCTTCCCTATCGTGCTCTGTGACTGCAGAGGTGGAAAAGATGAAATCAGTGTGGCTCTCGTGCCCTAGTGATGTAAGATCTTCCCAACGGGCTCTGCTGCTGAGTGTCTGCCTCCCCACTCAGTCAGGCCCTGCGGTTTGTCGAGCTTACCTCCACTCTTCTGCCCTGGGAAGCCCCATCACTGAATTGGCTGGACTGAATTTCAGGGGCGAGAGGGAGGCACGAGGAGGAGACACCACTTCTCTCAATCTTTTCTCCTCCCCTAGAACTCCAGCAGGTTAGGCAATTGGCCAGAAGAGCTGAGCCAGAGAAACTGCAGGGGAGGGTTTAAAAATGTGAGATCCCCACGACTGCACACAAAATTTATGCAAAATGCAAAAAACCCTCTTATGCAACATAAAGCTTGAAGAAAATCAAGCAAAAAAATGAGAATTCCATTTAGGAGGTTCTTTAAATTATTTAAAGGAGGAGAATTAAGATTTCTAGAGGGGTTTCAACCTCCTGACTTTGCAAAGCTGAGAAGAACTCGTCCATTTAGTGATGTCTGCAGGGCACATCAATGTGTCTTTGATACAGTGGTTTCAGTTAAATGAGCTTTCACTAAAAGGGTTTTTATGAATAAATGTTACTGAAGATAATGTATTTAGAAAATAAATATAGTATCCCTTCCTTCTATTAGAGAGGAATCTAAGAATGTCATTTTTTCGTGAGAAAAAAAGTATTTTCCTCACCTTTGCAAAACTAAATGACATCAACAACAATCTACAAAAGGACTAAATGTAAAAATCCAGACGTGAGAACAGTAAAGAGGAAAGGAGATTCACACTTCACTGGGAAAAAACTTGTTTTTGTCAAGCAATTTATAAAGAAAGCAGGACTCAGCCAGCCATTATTCCGGTTCCTTATACTTTAAAAACTTGAAATGACTCCCTATAACACATGCAAGATTCTATTTACTTCACCTTTGAGGTCAGGCCTACCTTACACGTAGGAGCTGAAATAAAAAGCATGCTGTTAGAAAGGTACCTTTAAAAAAAAAAAAGAATTAAATATTTTGAGATACCTTCAATGGCAATGCGCTTTTTGGGCCAATCCTTTGATTCCCGAGATATTGATTCTTTGACACGGATACTTATCACTAAATCAGCCAAATTAAATTCTAAAGCATAGAAGCGCAGCAATTCCACCCAGAGCTGCCCAACTTGTACTGAAGGCTGGTGTTTTACATCAAATATTAATGACACCTATTAATAGTAAAGAGAAACATACACGTTATTCCAGATGAAAGCACAATCTGAAAAATCAGAGATCATTCAAGCATCAAATTAAGAAATCTGAAAAACCTTAACAAAGATATGAACTTGAGAATCCATCTAGATTAATCAAATTCTAGGTTCTATATTGCCTGTAGTAAAATAGCATTATTTCACTACACTCCTGGAATTACAGTATATTGAAATCTAGTCATTATCATAGGAATAAACAGGATCAGTTTTATTTAACCAGTCAGCACTCCTAATTTTGAAATCTTAATAACAGGTGGAGAGGACTGTGCACAGGTTGCTAATACTCTCAGCACTGAACTCTTCCTGTTGGGGCTGCTGGAAGGCACCTTTATAATTACAGACACGCAGAAATGGACAGTAGCTAAAAGCATAGAGAAAAAGGAAAAACACTCCTCTTATTACCTTGATAAGCTACATAAGCACACTGAAAATGCTAGTGGCAATTAATTTTAAAGTCAAATAACTTGATATCAGAAGTTGATAATAGTCTTACTGTCACAGACTTTTGACAAGTTGGAACATACTGTGATGTAATAAATTGGAAAGCACGTAGTACTTAGGATAGAAAAAATGGGTCCAAATAGTGATTCTGCCACTTCATAGCTCTTAAAATTGTTCTGTATCTTAGCTTCTTCATTTTTATACTGGCAGTACAGCACAGTGGCTAAGAGAACTGACTTTGGAATTGGGACAAACTTGGATTTGAAATCCAAACTCTGCCATGCACTAGTTGTGTTGATCCTGGTCAAGGTCAATAACCTATCTAAGTCTCGGTTTCCTCATCTGAAAAATGGGGATAACAGTACCCACCTCATAGGGTTGTTGGGAGGACTGAGGACTGAGTGAGATAGTGTCTGTAAAGAGCTTAGCACAGTGCCTGGCACACAGTGTTCAAAAAATGGTCGCTATCATTATCTGCAGAGTAGGGATGATACCACCTATAACACAGGATAGTTATGAGGATTAAATTAGAAACATGGGAAAGCATCTGGCAGACTTGGTTGTCTGTACTTTTTTACTTAGGTATAGTCTTTTTAAGTACAAGAAATCCATATATCACTGAAACATAATGTCACAACCGTAAGATGCTCTTAAGAGGTAATCTAGTTCAATCCCTGTCAATTACAAGAGAAGGAACTGAAGCTGCAAGAGTTTCCATGACTTGTCAAGTCGCACTGCTTGTCAGCGACAAGAGTACGAACGTTTCCCCATCCCACTACAGTGCTTTTTCACCACACCATATGCAACTTCCACAATGTTTATAGCTCACTTGATTTCAGAAGTGGCAGCATGATTAATCTCTCCAAATAGCATAAAAATGCAAAAATAAAGCATTATGGACTTACAGCAATAGTTCACATTATTCCTATAATTCACACTGAAAATAATATTTTCCTCTAAGGTATACAAATTTGTCTCTGATCATATTTTATTATAACAAGCCTCAAAAGAAGTGGTATGTTATTTTATTAACCACGAAATCTCAACCACAAAGGCTCTGCCAAATAAGATAAAGTTATTTGGTAGAATTACAAGGCAGAACTGATTGAAAATGGAAGTTGTCTCGGTCCCAAACACTATAGTTGAGGACATAAAGAAATCCCCCAGAAATGGAAAGCCTTATTAAATTTCACCTCTTTATCTATTGCCTTTTTGAGCATTACAAAAGATTTTTAAGCATCTCACTGAAATGACTTGATAGTACAATAACACGGAGACCTTCAAAATAACCTAGACTCCTGCAACTTAAAACAGTTTTTTTAAAATAGAGAACATTTTCTTTTTCAAATAAAATAAGAATAGCAGCTAATATTTATTGAGTGCTTACCACATGCTTGGCACTGAGTTAAGCATTCTATACATCGATGACCCTATGAGAGGGTACCAATATTATCCCCATTTGTAGAGACGAAAGTAGGGCACAGAAAGATTAAGTAACTTGCCCAAGGACACACAGCTAGAAAGTGGGAGAGCTGGGATACAAATTCACATATTTTGGCTCCATATCCTGTGCTCTTATCCAATACTGGAATCCCAAACAGAAAACAGATAAAAGAGGTGCTGTTCTGCTGGCAGCAGTGGTAGGGTGCCACCACCTCCCTCCTCCCCCAACACTCAAGGATTCTGGAAAACACAACTGAAGAATCTATGACTCATCACCCTCTCCTCATTTTAGGCATGAATAAACCATGGACTGGAGGAGTGACATGACTTGTTTTTGTAGAGCTGGGATTAGAATCCTGGTCTCAGAAGTGTTATGTGAATATTATTGTCATTTTACCCTAAAGCGTTATGAGAAGGCCATGGGGTCAGTGACCATTCACCATTTTGGGACAAAAACCTGTTCTTATTACTAGAATAATTACACCACACAGATTTTTGTTTGAAATTCTAATGGCAATTCTTTCCTTGCACATAAACTCCCCTGCCCACCCCCAACAGTATGGAACCAGGACATTAAATCATATACTTATTGTTATTTTAATAATTTGAAGTTAGTTAACTTTTCATATATTTAAACCATATAATACCATTTAGATCTAAGCTCTTTGAGGATAGACAGGGATTCTGAATTCTCTGAATTCTCAGTATTTTTCAAAGGACCCTGTACACAGAAAAAAACACGTAAATCATTGTGGATTTAATGACTTTTTTTTTTTAACCTTTTATCACTACTTGTCTATTCAAGGGACTGAATAGGAAATAAAATATCCATGAAATAATTAAGATAGTTAAGAAAGGAAGAGAGGAACGCTGTTCAACCCATAAATTACACAACCGACAACTGAAATAAAAATAGATAGTAAAACTAGAAATGTGAGAGAACAGACCTGTCCCCTTTTAACCGGAATTTCTTTTGGTGCCTCTTCTTTTGCTGTGTCCCCTGCAGCATTATCAGTGTACTCCCAGACCACAAAGTCTTTTTCAATGTCTTTAAGGCTGAAGTTCCCTAGTTTATTTAATGAGAATCCTTCAATCTAGGAAAAATTAGACACATACTATTGTAAGGCAGAAACAACTCTACATCAATCAAAGCATACGAATCATAGAAGGAATGAAAAGTTAACATACTCATAGTTTGTTGAAAACAAAAGATATCATTTATGGAAAATCTCTGGAACAACTATAAATCTAAAAAGATTTTTTTAAAGTAAAAACAAGGTTTTGATTTGCAAAAGAAATGGCGACTTTGTGAAACAATTCTTTAGTAAATACTCTAAGAGAAGGTAATATGGCCTAGTGGCTGAGGCCATGGGTTCTGGAGTAAAACCGCCTGGGCCCAAATCTCACCTCCCCCATGTGAGGGAATAGCTATGTGATCACTGGTAAAGTACTTATTCTCTGTAGGCCTCAGTTTCCTGTAAAAAAAGGGATAACACTAGAACTTCCTTCATGGGAGAGTGATATGAAATAATAGACAGAAAGCACTCAGATACAGGTAGTATCTGCTTGTAGTATACAGCATGCAGAAAACTACTAATTCTGGTTAAGTCAGAAATTTCCAAAGTAAATTTTATGTGCTATTAATGAATGTTAATGCAAAAGAAAGTGATCTATGTTCAAAAGATCTGAGAAAAGTTGAACATAGTGGTTTTCTAGTTTGCGGTTTCTAATTATATGTGAGTGTTGAATTTTGTCAAGTGTTCTTTTTTCCTGCATCTGTGATAATCATGTGGCCTTTCTCCTTTATTTGTTGAGATGGTGAATTATACTGATTTTGGAATGCTAAATAAACTTTGTATTCTTAGAAGTCCCACTTGGTTGTGATATATCCTTTTTGTATTTTTTTTTTTTTACTTGCAGCTGGCCAGTGTGGGGATCTGAATCCCCTTTTAGTATGTCTGAGTTGATTTGCTAATATTTTGCTAATGGTTTTGGTGGCCATGCTCATTAGAGATATTGGTATATAGTTTTCTTTTCTTTTTTTTCCCGGTTTTGGTATCAGGGTAATTCTGGTCTCTAATTTCTCTTATTCTATTTTCTGAAAAAGTTTTATATAGCTGGAATTATTTCTCTCTTCAGTGTTTGACAGAATTCACCAGTGAAGCCACGTGGGCCTGGAGTTTTTCTTTGTAGGAAGGTTCACTGAAAATTCAATTTCTTTAGTACATATAGTACTGTATTAGTATGTTTCTGTTTCTTTTAACAGAAATACCTGAAACTGGGCAACTTTCATTTATTTATTTTTTTGAAACATAATCGATTGTACATATCTGTGGGGTACAGTGTTCAATATCAATACCTATGTGCAATATGTGATGCTCAAATCACGATGATTAATATATTCAACACTATACAATGTAATTGTTTTTTGTGGTCCTTTACCAATTTCTCACTCACCCCCTTCCCCTTCCCTCTTTCCCACCTCCTTTTGAAATTTCAACACATTATTGTGATTGTTGTATCCTTTCTTTTTTAATTAATTTTTTTTTAGCTCCCACATATGAGGACATGCAGTATTTCTCTTTCTGTGCCTGGTTTATTTCACTAAACATAATTTTCTCTAAGTTCATCCATGTTGTTACGAATGGCAGAATTTCATTCTTTTTTACGGCAGAGTAGTATTCCATTGTGTATATATACCACATTTTCCTTATTCAGTTGTCTGTCAATGGACATTTATGTTAGTTCCAATTCTTGGCTATTGTAAATACCGTTGCAATGAACGTGAGAGTGCAGGCTTTCCTCTGACATGATGATCTCCATTCCATTGTGTACACACCCAGCACTGGGATTGCTGGGTCATACAGCAGTTCTATCTGGACTTGTTTGAGGAAACTCCATCCTGTTTTCCATAATGGTTGCACTGATTTACAGTCCCACAAACAGATCGGAGGGCTCCCCTTTCCCTGCATCCTCACCAGCATTTGTTATTCTCTGTCTCTTTGATATGGCCAGTCTAACTGGGGTGAGATGATATCTCAATGTGGTTTTGATGATTAGTGATGTAGAGCATTTTTTCACGAAACTGTAATTTTTAAAGAAACAATATTTACTGCTTACAGTTTTGGAAGCTGGGAAGTGCAAAGTCCAGGGAACACATCTGGTGAGGGCAACACTGGGTATCACACGGCAAATGTGGCAGCGGCAGAGAGGGACTAACCTCCTCCTCACTCGTATTCCTTTAAAGCCCTCAGAACCACAACCATGACCACCATTAAACCATCAGTGGATTGATCCATTCACTTCTGCACGGTCCTACCATTTAATTACCACTTCAAGGCCCCACCTTTCAATTACCATAATAGGATTTCCCACCTCTTAACACTTTCAGGGGTGGGGGTGGGATTTTCAAATACATGAAAATTTGGGGGACACAATTCAACCCATATCAGGTACCATTTCAGGTTATTTTTTCTTGCATGTTCTTTTTGTATTTGGTCTCATAAGGAATATGTCCATTTTATCTAGGTTTTCTAATTTGTTGCAAAAAATTATTTACAATATTCTCTTTCTATTCATTTTTATGTCTATAAGATCTGGAGTGATAACCGTTCTTTTATTCCTAATATTAATTTATGTTCTTTTTTTTAATCAGTCTATCAGGCTTATCAATATTGTTGATCAAAGAAATAGTTTGGCTTTGTTAATTTTCTCTACTGTTAGTCTGTATTCTATTTATTGAGTTTGCTCTTTATTATTTTCTTTTTTCTACCTGCTTTGGGTTATTCTGCTATTTGATTGTCAGCATCTTGACCTAAATTTTGGATCACTGATTTTAGATCTTTCTTTTTAAATTTTAGCATTTAAACCTATAAATTTCCCTGGGAACACTATTTTAGCTGCAACTCACAAATTTTGATATCTTTTATTGTCATTTAGTTCAAAATATTTTCTAATTTCTCATATGATTTCTTATTTGACCCAAATAAGAAATATTACTTAGTGAACTGTTTAATTTCCTAATGTATATGATTTTCCTAAATATCTTAGCGATATACTCATACATCTACATCTATATCAATTCTAATTTTTAATCCATTATAGTCAGAGAAGACACTCTGTGATTTTAATCCTTTTTAAATGTACCAAAACTTCTTTTATGAGCCAGCATAAGGTCAATCTTGGTGAACATATCTTACACACTTGGAAAAAATATATATTTTGCTGTTATTGGGTGTAGTATTCTGTAAATATCAATGAGGCCAATTAGGTTGATAGTGTCTATTGGATCCCCTGTCTATACTGGATTTTTGTTTAGCTAACACAGTAGTCAATTGCTGAGAGAGGTGTTAAAATCTACTCTGATGGTAGAATGGACTCCGTCCATTTTTGCTACATGTATTATGGTGCTCTCTAATTGGTGCAAACATTTATAACCATTTTGTCTTTCTGGTGAATTAACCCTATTACAATGAAATGCCTGTTTTTACTTCAGTAGTATTTTTTTTGCTTGAAATATATCTCAACTGATATTAATATAGCCTCTCCCTTTACTTTTGGTTACAATTCACAAGTATATCTTTTTTCATCCATTTACTTTCAAACTATCCTTCTTTACATCTTAACTGTATTCTTCTAGACAGCATATAGTCTTGCTTTTTAAAAATTCATTCTGATGATTTAAGCCCTCTAATGGAGATATTTAGTCCATCAAAATTTAAGATAATTATTGATATCACTGGTTTTAGGTCTAACATTTTAGTATTGTTTTCTGCTTGTCCATTCAATTTTAAAATTTCCATTTTGTTCTTTTTATACTTTCTATTTCTCTGGCTGATCTTTCCTATCTCTTAATTTATTCCAAGTGTATCTCCTTTATCTCATGGAATACAGTTATAACTGCTTTAAAGTCTTTGACAGTTCCTGCATCTGGGTCATCTTGGGTTTGACATCGGTTGATTTTCTTTTCCTCTGACAGCAGGTCCCATTTTCTTGGCTATTATTATGTTCGGTAATTTTGGATTGTATTCTGGACATTATAAATATTACATCGTATTGTGAAAATTCTGGATTTCTTATGTTACTCCAGAAAGTACTGATGTTTTTGTTCTAGCAGGTAACTAACTTGGTTAGGCGAAATGCAGATTGTCACACCTCCAGTAGATAGTGTTTCATCTTGGCTATTATTATGTTCGGTAATTTTGGATTGTATTCTGGACATTATAAATATTACATCATATTGTGAAAATTCTGGATTTCTTATGTTACTCCAGAAAGTACTGATGTTTTTGTTCTAGCAGGTAACTAACTTGGTTAGGTGAAATGCAGATTGTCACACCTCCAGTAGATAGTGTTTCAGATCTCAGATCAGTTCATTAAGCCTTAGCTCCTATTTTCAGTCTGCCCCACATGTGTATGGTTTATGAGTCTGTCATTAATTTTGGAAAATTTTCAGTCACTATTACATCTAATATTTCTTCTGTTCTTTCCTCTCTTTTTTCTCCTTCTGGTCATCCCATTATGCATGTTATGACCTTCAGTAACTGACCCACAGATATTTTGTCCAAACTGAGCTTCTAGAAATCTGTCAATAATTCTTTAGGTTTTTCTACCCCGGTATTGGCTATAGTGGCAGGATTCTGCTCCTGGGCTTCTGCTCTGGTAAGCTATCATTCCCTGTATTATTAGCCTGCTCTCCAATTTTGGGGGCAGTGGTTTGCTCCATGACCTCGATTGTCTCATGGAGATTGTCTCATGAAGAGTTGTTTTCAGTTTGTTCAGTTTTTTCCCTGTTGTGAGGATGGGAGTGATGACTTCCATGCTCCTTTCATGATGAAATGGATTGGTTCAGGAAGCAGTCAGAGACGCACTGAGTTTTTAACACAGAATTAAGGGTTCCACTTCTCTGTAACTTTCCTTCTGCCTCCACCCCCACCATATTTTCTGGTGTCCCTACTTCCTCTGTTCAAAAAGATGACATGTTTTTCTTTCTTTCTTTTTTTTTTTTCCTTTTTGTCTTTTTTCGTGACCGGTAACGGGATCACAACCCTCAGTGTCGCGCCTGTACCGCGACCAGCAACTGGATCGCAACCCTTGGTGTCGCGCCCGCACCGCGCTCAACCAGTGAGCGGACTGGATCCAAACCCTTGGCGGGAGCGCCGCCGCACTCCCAAGCGCCGCACTACCGAGTGCGCCACCAGGCTGGCCCAGATGACATGTTTTTCTGTCAGATTTGCCTTTAGGGGAAAAGGCACAGAAAAACTGGAAATTTATTCTGTGTTGGTAACTAGTTCCAAGTTTTGACTTCCATCCAGGTCTATTGATATTTGTTCAGTCTCCAGGGCATTCATGTTGTTTTTAATGTTTTGTCCAGATTTTATAGCTGTTATTTGCAGAAGGGTCACTTGGTTAGGAGTTCACACTTCTACACCATAGGTGGAAACTAACTTTCTACTGAAGAAGAAAATGACTAACATTTGCTCTCCTATCTTGTTTCAGGGGCTTTACATTCATTACCGTGTTGAAGGTTTAGAATGACACTGAGGCTCAGAGATTAAATAACTTGCTCAAGGTCACAAAGATCTAACAGGCAAAATCTGAATGAGTCCCAGTGCTGTCCAACTGGTTTGGTTCCATCCTAAACTTCAATGTCTCTTGGATCAAGGTAAAAGGAAAACTGCAAAGACTTTCACAGATTCCTAATTCGGTCTGGTGGAAACTGTTATCTATCAAATAAGAATTGACTTTTTTCTCCTCTCTCTTTTTTTTTTCCCCTGTGACTGGCCAGTAGGGGATCTGAACCCTTGACCTTGGTGGTATAATACCACACTCTAACCAACTGAGCTAACTGGCCAGCCCCTCCTCTTTCTACTATATTATCTGACATCCCTAAAGTATAAATAACTATTTCCTAAAAATTAGGTTTATATAATACAAAATAAGGCAGATACCAAATAATATCTACTAGTAAAATGTTGCTTTAGGGGGTAAAAGATGCTGAGAAGAGTTTACAACTCATTATGATTAACTCTAGTCATATAAAGATCTAATGACAATAAAATGGGAATTTTGATTGAGAGCAAAAGGTTGAAGAGGACAGTCTCCAACATAGAACAGATCTGAGTAGGTTGGGACAGAATGGCTAAAAGATTTTTGAAAAGATGGATTAGAGCACAGAGGCACAATACACTACACTTCTTGACAGAGAATGTAGTCTTGTTCATTTTTGTATTTCCTTCAGGGCCTAGGACAATGACTATACACAATGTTTTAAAGATTTTAAAGAAATTAACAATTTAGATACTTTCATACAAATAATTATGAGGACCTCAATGGATTTTCTGCAGAAATAATGTACATAAAATATCTGGCATAAACAAGGTATTGACTAAATATTAATTCCTTTCCCCTCACTTGCTTTATATTTTTGACTCTGGCAGAAGCCAGCAAACTGATGCCTGACCACTAGTGTAAAATGCTGAAAACTGCAAGTCATTTTGGTTCAGGCAGTAGAGTCCGCCTTATTTGATCCACAGAATTCAATCCAGTGTTTGATCACTACATACCTGTTTTTGTCATTAAATCATGAATAAATGATATAATCAAAATCAAATTCAGTGTCACTTTAGACACTTTCCAGTATCACTGCCAAGTAAATAATACACTGGCCATAGAGAAAGATATTCATACTACTTTCAAGCACATCCTGAGGAGAATCTCATCATCAGAAGAAAACCACCTTTTTTCTTGCATCCTCATATCAGATGACTACTTAGAGAAGGTCAGAACATTCATAAAGGCAGATCTCCCTCTGTAAGACAGTAGTGAGTAAGGCAACATATTCAACTTGTTCTACGGTCCTTTTAGGCACAGGAGTCTAACTGGTTTGGTTCCATCCTAAATTCCTCTCTCTCTGGAACCAAGGTGAAAGAAAAACTTCAAAGACTTTCACATATTTCTACTTGGGTCTGGTGGAAGGGTTATTTATCAAATGAGAGTTGATTTTTTTCTCTTTTTTCTCCCAGAAGAGTAGACTGGTAGAGATGCCCTCTCATGACCCTGAATTCTTTCATTTCAGTACCACAGACACAAAAAGAGCTACCTTTAGGCAACTAGGATACACAGCACATTGTAATCCTTTATGCCAGGATACAGTTCATGAGTAGCTTACTCTACTTCAGTCTTTATTCTTGGAGGCTGGCAGATAAAAGTCCCTATTTAACTCTCAAACTATAACATATAAAGAAAAAAATCTCTATAATCATATCTTTTTGATGTGTATCCATAGTTCAGAATGACTGCTTTAGAAAATATCAACCTTAAATGATGAGAGAAATCTGTGTGCAGTAAGAAGAAAAGTAGTTAAAATATCCAATGTGCCAAAGGAAGCTTTTTACTAAGTGAGTCTATAAAATAAGTGTACACATGACAGTACATTAACACCTGGATATTAAAAATAAGGTTTCTAAAGGGATGAGAATAAATATGATTTTGACTTTTTCAGATGGCCTCTTCTTAAATCTTATTATTTCAACAAATCAACTCAACATTAATTTATCCAGAAAGAAAGAGTAGTCACATTACTGAAGTCTAATTCATCTTAAAGATAACATCAAAATATTTTTCAGGAAGTGTCTATTTAGCTCTATATCTTGTGGTACAGGCAGCGATGTCAACATATATATTCTTTTGTTTTACAGGTTATGGGAGAAACAAAAGACTAGAAATATAAAATAAGTTACAGTTAACCAAATGCTTCTGACAGTGTGTCTGGAGGCATATGTAAATTCAAGTATCAAATTAGAAAACTGTACCCAAGGAAAAAAATGTATCAAATGATAAATTTAATACAGATCCACAGTCTCTTGTTTGAAAATCTTAGTACCACACATGTTCAAAAATTAAGAGATTTTGCAGTCTAGAAAGGTAATAACATCCCTAGCAGGGTACACGGCAGCACCTTGTAATCACACACATTAATGTTTTAGCAGTCAAAGGTATAAATATTCATCCTAGTAGAGTAAATAAATCCATGTCAGTTCTGCTTAGGTTTTTAGTTTTGAAATTTTGCAAAATCTAATTGTGAACACATAATAAAATCAGTATCAGATATACAAGCAAAAAAAGTTTCATACCCATGATCCCAGATAAACAGGTAGAAGGGGTTCTTTCCTCTGTTGAAGGAAAAAAATGGCCATCAGGGCAAACACATAAGGTGGCAGGCCTCCTTCTTCAGGGCAATCTATACTGCAAAGCTACAAGTGAGAAAAAAGAGAATAAACATTCTTTTTGTATCAACTTGTCATTTACGCAATTTGGACTAAAACTTGTAACTTCATCTCATGTATTATATTATTTACAGTGATTCCTCAGAATAAAACAGCACAGTGACAAAATATACAACTTCCTTATATTTCCGCAGCACCTACATACTGTGGTTTTGACTGACAGTTTCAATTTCATATATTTAATCCTGTTAACTAATCCTCCTTTCTCCTGGAGGGCTAAAATATTACTTAATGATGAAGCAAGAGGTGGTTTTCAAAGGACAGCATATTGTAATTATCAGTTCACCTAGTTGGGCATCCTCTGTTCACCCTGTATCCAAGAAACAGGAACTATCTATTGTATTTACTTGTATTTGCTATTTCTTTTTTTTTACTGACCGGTAACGGGATCGCAACCCTCGGTGTCGCGCCCGTACCGGGGACCGGCAACGGGATCACAACCCTCGGTGTTGCACCCACACCTCGCTCAGCCAGTGAGCGGGAACCGGTCTCCACATGGGATCCAAACCCTCGGCGGGAGCGCCGCCGCGCTCCCAAGCGGCGCACTCTCCAGTGCGCCACCGGGCCGGCCCTGCTATTTCATTTTTTGATACCCATAGTAAATTCATTCACTGGGTTAAAACACATGTTAATGAAGTAAAAATGATGATTCAGTTCCAAGCGCAAGCCAATGGGCCTTGCTCAGTTCAATGGTCCTCTCATCCTAACCTGTAGCCTTGCAAATGCGTGCTTTGGTCACAAAGGTAATTTGGGGAGAGAATGTGGGCAACCTAATCAGCACTAATGGAAGTAACCACCAAAAATGCGTGGCCTACTTTGTGATGAAGCAGGAAGTAGTTTTCAAAGGATGGCATGTTGCAATTACCAATTCACATTAAGAGTGGGGCACCCTCTGTTCATCTTGTGTCCAAAAAACAGAAACCATCTATTATCACTGCTATATGTTAATCAGTAAAGCTTTTGCTTTTCTCTATATGAAGTGCCTAAAGAGAATCTTGATTTTACAATCATGATGCAGTCTTACATTTTGGGGGAATGTTAAATACTCTACTATTTATTAGAGGCTTTCAACTGGGATACTATATTTAAGCCATTAGGGAAATGTAAGCAAGACCAGATAGAGTGTCTTTCATTTTTTGGAGTCTCTGTTTATGTTATGGGAAATGATATGAGAAGCTTTATCTCACACTTTCCTGTGCCTAATAATCTTCTCGGGAAACTAGTTAAAATGCAAATTCTTGGGCCATATTCTCTGGGCTTTGACCCACAAATCTGATTTTTAATAAGCACTATAAATCATTTTGATCTTTTGAGCAATACTGTTACAGTGAAATGGAAACACTGAATTTGCCTTCTGTACACATTTCTGTTCCAATATATAGATGCCTATCTACTCTTTTAATGTCTATAAATATACATGAAACATTTACGATTAAATTAACCAAATAAAAATCAAAGCATAGTGCTTATGCACACACAATATATTTAAAGAACTCAAACCTACCTTTGCCCAGTACCTAAATGCAATCACCAAAGGAACCAGCTTTGGTTCTAGTTTTCCAAGGGCAGTTAAATGCTTTGTTGTTAGACAAGCATTTTCATTTCCTGCACTCACTTTACAAAGAAGACCACTGGTGGCGGTGAGAGGTGAGAATGTGAAAGAAAGAAAGAAAAAAGGTGTTATACAGGTATCAGGTATCTTTTATACCAACAACTAATTTAAACTGCTAATAAATACATTTAAAAAAAAGTAAAAAACTCACTAAATCTTTATGAGTTATTTAAGAAATTGGCTTAAAAAAAGATAAGGCAGCTTTTTCTGACTAAATTTTATTTTTCAGAACTAGAAATTTGTGTTTTATATATTATAATTATTTTTGGGGGGGAAATGAAAATAAAGAAAATATTATAAAATGTTTCAAATAAGAGCATGAATCATCTTTGTAATAATAGAGTGTTCTCCCAAGAGTCAAAGGAATCTGCCTAATAAGGAATCATTCCAGCCTATAAAGCACCCATTTACAGTGATGATGGTAAAGCTTTCAGATGGAGAGATACACAGGTGAAGTCACACTGTTACTTAGCACTTCCACAAATGCTAAAAAGGATGGCCCTTACCAGCCAGCCACCAAAAAAAAAAAAAAGGCAAATAAAGGTGATTAGAGCAAGCATTGATAAGGTTTTATTTTTACCTATCTGAAATGAGTGAGAATGCTTCCACTCTATATTGTGTCCTTTAAGGAATTTTATTCTTTTTAAAATAAAAGATTTTCCCCTCTTGCATCAAATGCTAAAAATACAGGGAGAATTCCAGTAGGAAGTATGTGTGATAACCATATAATGAACTTATAGTTCTAGAAATTGTATATTAAGATTTAGTAAAGCAGGCAGGCCCAGTTAAGGCTCACTTGATTAGAGTGTGGTGTTGATAACACCAAGGTCAAGGGTTCAGATCCCCATACAGGCCAGCTGCAACAAAATCAAAAACAAACATACAAAAAAGATTTAGTAAAGTACTTGTGCTTTTGGCAAGTTGATAATTAATAAACAGCTTAAAGAAACAGAGACCTCTGCTTTTCTCTGCACACCACCACTGGCACCCTAGCATGGAAATCTGCATCAACATCAATAAAAGAGTCTGAGGAAAGAAGAAAAAAATATTACATAAGTTAATTAAAGCATTGTTTAAAAGGCAGGACTAGATAAAGTTCAGGTACCTCTTGTAACTTATCTGTTTAGCCTTTTGAAAGACCACTACTAAATAAAGCTCTGAAATGACTTGAAAAGAAAAAAAATTCAAGAATCAAGTAATTACATTATAATCCTTATTTTGCAAAGTTAATGTTTAATTAGAAATGACTACATCACTGAATCAGAACATTTAAATGTTATGTGGATAACAATTAGAAATACGGGAAAGTACATTTAAAAACAAAATTGTTGTGAAAGCTACTAGAATGTTCAGTGTTAAAAAATGTAATGACTGATGAAAGAAGAAATGTTTAAGTGTTTTAATCCACCAAAACAAGAAGGATGGGAGTGACTAACTCAAGGGATGAGACAGTTTGATGAGGCCTTTGTAAAGTACAGAAATCCATAAAACCCAAGGTTGGACGCTATACTGAACAACTGATGAATCTAAATGGAAACAACTATTTGAGGATTCACTAATCAGGGTTGGATCATACCTATTTACTGTTTGTAAAATATTAACTTAAACATTTGAATAAAAAAGATTATCCTTTAGTTTTACCCTCAAGAGTGAATTTGACATATTTTTTTATTTCTTAGTCATGATCTAGAACTCATTTAATCTTTATAAATAGCAATGTTATCTATCATCAAGCTAAAAACTTTACTTAGAAAATGGTTATTCTGCGTAGTATAACTACTAACAGGACTCTAATGAACTGGTTACTAATTCATGGACATTTGCTTTGGTTTTTACTTTGGATATTACCCATATAAATAATTAAAACATGACTTGCTATTTTCAAAGTTTGAGAAATAAGATATATCCAAATTATAGACAAAATAAAAAAATTTAAGAGCAAAATGTGGAATTTGGCCTTACCACTGTTCTTTAAACATTCTTGAACAAGTAAGAGGACATCTGGCTGAGACATCTAGGAAATAAATCAACGAATACATGAAATAATCCCTAAGTACTTTTGCTTCACTGATACAGTACAAAGTCATCTGAAGTTCCCCAAACTGCTTTGCAAATTAGAAATACACATTGCTACCACATTACAGAAATTAACCATTATGCTGTGTGCACATTGTCAGTCAAAGACAGACACGTAAGCACCAAACAAGGATGAGAGTTGGCTAGGACCTACCACACAGTTAACTCCTGGTTAACTAATTATTGAGATAATTAGCCTCTTAGCAAATCTTGAAGTGGTAGCTGGAAGTTGTTAACCTGCTAAGCATACAGGTTGAGCATCCCTTATCTGGAATGCTTGAGATCAGAAGTGTTTGGGATTTCAGATTTTTTCAAATTTTTGAATATTTGCATTATACTTACTGGTTAAGCATCCCAAATCTGGAAATCTGAAATGTTCCACTGAACATTCCCTTTGAGTACCAGGTGGGTGCTCAAAAAGTTTTGGATTTTAGAGCATTTCGAGTTTCAGATTTTCAGATTAGGGATACTCAACCTGCATTACCTCTCACTGCTCCAGACAGCTTACTGTCCCAATTTCAGTCTTCTTGCCTTTCTCCAATCCTTGTTCCACACTGGAGCCCAAACCATTTAAAATCATGACCTGGAACCTTAAACCTCTCAATGACTTCTTACTGCCCTTAGGTCAGAATCAAACTCTTCACAATGGCCTATGAGATTCTGCATGTTGGACCCCAGCTACCTCTGCATCCTAATCTCATGCTCTTCTTTCTCTTGGTACTACGTTCACTATACCTGTACAATCTTTCTTTTAGCTCCTTGACCACACCTAGCTTCTTACCAATCTAGGGTCTTTGCAAATGCTGTTTCCTCTGAAACATTCTTTTGTCTTTTCCCCCCTCTGGGCTGGCTCCTTTTCATCTTTTTGAGCACAGCCAAAATGTTCCCTCTTCAGAGAGACCTTCATGACTGCTGTATCTCTGCATGACCTTTGTTTTCTATCACTGAACCTGTTTCCCTGCACAGCTCTCATTATATTATATAGGTTATTACTTACCTCCTTCACTAGATATGAGTCCCATTAAAGCGAAACCATATCTGTTTTGTCCTTAAGAATTTTGTATAATGCCTACCATACAACATGGATTTAGTGAGTATTTACTAAATGAATGAATGACACCAGATCGAAATAACTGCTAGGCTGATACATCATTAATCAGAATGTAAGGTTAAAAAAATAGTAAAATCTATTGGTTAGCTGACCAGGTAGCTTTATAGTAGTCACATATGGCATGGAATGAGAGGTTGTGAAACAGAACATCTGGAGGTGTGACCCTGGAATCTGCACTTTTAACAAGCAACCCAGGTGACTGGGCGTAGGCCATTTGCAAACTGGCCTGTGGGAACCACCAGTGGATAAATGGAAAATCTATTAAAGTGCCTTCCAGTTTTAAAATTCTGACTCATCAACATCTTTTGAATCACGCTTAAACCAGAAATCCAGGCTAGGTATGGTTCTTTAAAAGATAATTATTTTAACAAAGTAGGTATATAAACAGAGGAAACAGGAGCTCATTAAGCTTTCAGGTCACAAATGTTTACATACCTACACTGTTTAAAATCTGAATTCAGGATTGGCTGGTTAGCTCAGTTGGTTAGAGTGCTGTGTTAGAGTACTAAGGTCAAAAGGGTTTGGATCCCCATACCGGCCAGGTGCCAAAAAAGTAAAATCTGAATTCCTTTCCTGCCATTAGAAAGTTGATTTTGCCAAGAGAATGTAATCTTTTCAAGTTAACAAAACCTAAATGCTTCCATCAGATTTACATGGGCAGAAAATCAGTGTTAGAATGAGTATGACAGATCTGCAGAGTAAAAGAAGTATGAAAATCTGTAAGGTATAAAAAAAAATGCTCTTAAACTGAAGGCAGGCAGAAGACATAAAAATGAAAATTTCTGGAAAAAAAGCTGCCACCATTACACTCAAAGTATCTTCAAATATCTAATATATATTCATATACAGTTCACTCACATTTGAAAAAATTTCCATACCACTCTGAAAATTCCAACATTTCATTTTGTACTTACAATGGCTGGAAACTGAATGTCAATGTTTACATCCGAATTTTTGAAACCCAAACTGCTACAGGATGACCCATATAATCTTAAAGAACAATCTAAAAAAAAAAGTAAAATTTCTCAGAAGTTATAATAAAACACTGCTATTTCAGAAATCAAACCATGAATTGAAACTACACACAAAAGCAAAACTGTATCCAAGTCTGGCATAAATAAAAGACAGAAATACGTGGCACTTTGCTCTTCCCTTAATTTTATTTAACAGGGAAGCCTGCATCGACTGTGGTTTAGCTTAATAGCAACTCTTCTGATGTCAATTGTAAAATATGTTAAATTTCTACATTATCATGATCACATTTTATGCGGAAAACACCACCTGCAATGAATTTTAAAATGTAAATTTGAAAAAGGATGCCTAACTTTGTTTTATATTTATAAACTTGATACTCTGTGTAAAAACGAATGCAAACACTTTTCACCTTTTTGAAAACACACATAGGTATAATTTACTATAAAGAGTATGTTTCAGCAAAACAATAATAATAAAAATGATCTTTCAACATAAAGTTACTTTTTAATATGAATTACTCATTACATTATAAAGAAAAAGCACCTGACATAACATAATCCCTCTGGAAAAACTTTTGAAAAATAATTACAATATCACTGATATAATTTAAAATGCAGGGCTGGCCGGTTAATTCAGTTGGTTAGAGCATGGTGTCATAAAATCAAGGTCAAGGGTTCCGATCTCCACAGTGGCCAGCCACCAAAAAATAAATAAATAAATAAATAAATAAATAAATGAATAAAATGGTAGGCTGCAGGCACTTCACACTTCAGAGGAAGATGTTTGTGTGTGGACATGTGTACTGACTATATTTATTTATGGCTTTTATTTTCAATGTTTTACTACTATTGTGCCACATTATCCCTTCTCATCTGGGTTCCCCCCCATCCCCCGAGTTTTGCTAATTCAAATGATTTTTGGGGGTTTTAACAATTTTCCATAACAGAGTACATTGAATTTTACGTGGAATTCTATGGCAAAAATCATCAAAATTATACCTTACTTCTCAGGAAATACCTATATAATGAAATGAGTAGATTTTCTCCACTTGTTCTTATGAAAGCACAGTCCTAAGAATTATAAGGTGATACATTTAAATAACGATTCCAACCCTAGCTGTGGATCAATCACCTGTGAAGCTTTATAAAAGTAGTTGTCTACGGCTCTACAGATAATTCTGATGCACAGCAAGGACCAGGAATGTTAAATCTATTCCAGTTATTTACCTAATCGGGAATGGCCGTGGCGGGTGGGTTGTTGCTGTCAAGAATTGACAGCAACTGTGTCAGGCATTTACCATACCTGACTTTAAATTTTCATAAGCAGCATACCCCAAATAGTTGTCCCTCCTCCCCCTCTCAACAAAGATCTAAAATTAAAAATAGGCAGAAGACAGATATAACTTGGAAAATCAATTCAACAGTACACAAAATCCATTACAAATTACTTACAAACTAGTTTTCAAAACTCATTTTTAATGTTGCAATTCTTTTACGTATGGTCAAATAAAACCTTTTTTAGACACAGATAACCTGAAAACAACTCCAAGATACTCTTCTATCTCAACTCAAAATATGGTGTCAATTTAGGCAGGTAGAAAGGTAAACAAATATATACACAAGAGTCCCACACTGCCCAATAATATGTATTCAACTTATATTAAAGTTCATGCACACAATGAAATTTACAACGAAAACAGGTTTATAATGGCAATGCATGTCAAAGTCTTTGTTACCTTGGAGGAAGCCAGGAAAAACAAAAAACACACAAAAAACAAGAGCTTTAGGACATGGCAAATGAATTTTTATAAGATGAAAAATACTACTGGTAAGAAAAATGAATGAAGTAGCTAAACAGAAAAATCTAGAAAATACCTGGTAATTTGTGTTGGAACACATTTTCCATGATACATTTAATTTCTAGCCTCTCTTCTAAGTTTTCATTGTGTAAGCCGAGCTCCTGTACCACTCTGTCAATAGCAATGCCAATTGCGTTTATCTGGGAGTGTGTTGGCGGGGGTAACGTGGTAAGCAGCTCTTCCTCTTGCTTCTCCTTTTAAGATCAATGATGACAATCAAAATGACTCACAGTTTTTAACTTCTACCACTCACTGAGACAACACTCTACAGGATTTTCTGGAATCTTGTTCTTAGCCCTCCTTCTCATCTTAGCTATTAAAGTCTTCATCCTATCAAACACTTTTTTATACATATAATATGAACCAGTGATAACAGATGATAGGCAGGAATAAAGAGAAAGTGCAAGGAAAGAACATTAGAAACAGCAATGACAAACTGATTATTTGCTTTATTATATGCAGAAGGACATATACCTAGGTCCTAGGTCCTGTCAATGATTTCATACATCCTTATAATACCTTTAAGGAAATTCACAAGACTGTCCAGCAAAACATATCTGACCAGTATAAAGTATTTTGGCTAACATAAACTTGATAAAATAGGGAAATCATTAATATCATAGCCTTAAAGGGAAGAAAGCCACAAAGATGACAAGTAATAATAGCTGACAGTTAAGCATATTTATTTGGGTTACATTAAACTTACCTTAATATTTTTTTTGTGCCTCTTCTCTTTGATATGCTTATGAGCAAATGCAATGGATTCAATTAAAACATCACAGAGTTTGCAGGTGTACTTTGCTGTAGGGTAGTTCCGTGGTCGCTACAATTTGAACAGATTTATGAAGACATATACATATGCATCTCCAAACATACAGGTAACAATTAGCCAGATAATGATTTTCCCCTTCACTTTAAAAACTGTTAGTATATTATTGTCTCCCTTTATTGCTATCCTAAGTCATTTTTATTTAAATAACAGCAATTACTCTTAATTCCATTAAATCTCACTAAATATCACTATTAACTTACAGTACTTAAACAGTGATAACCAAAGCAAGATATCTAATTTGTCAAACACGTGTTCTCAATTACTAACTGTTTAGACCAAAATAAGGATTTTAACTAACAAACACTCATTTATGTACGAAGATGTTACCCTTTTTAGCCTGTCAATGCAGTCTCTTTTCAATCGCTCCTCAGCCTGCTGTAAGCCCAGTAGCTCCTTCGTTGAAAGCACAGACTCATCAATCACAGGGCCTTCCAAGTCTCCATCCTGCTCATTTTCCTCATTTCTAGTCCTCTGTGGCTTCCTAGGTCTGGACCTTTGCTTCTTGTTTTCTTAAGTGAGGGGAAAATGTTATTGGCAATATTAAATCATACCACTCCTGAGGAAAAGGCAAAACTTACATAGGTATTAATTAAATCATGATACAATGACATATGAACACAGAGCAAAAGGGAAGGTAGCTCTCCGTGGACAAAATGCTTGAATATTCAGTAAGCACACCACCTGATACATTAGTCCATAGAAATCGTCTTTTTGGAAAACATAGAAAGAATTCTACTTCAATCATATAATTTGATTTTATTATCTCTACCTGGTATACTGCTGAGCATACTCATATTCAAGCAACAGTTAAAATTATCCTCTGAAAGCAAGTATACCTATAATTCAAATATACTTAATATAAATGTACATATTTATATTTAATATGTTCTATTATTCTTTTTAGTATACCTGTTATTCTAATAAAAACCATCCACATTTGCTTCCATTTTTTTTTAAGGTGAACAATTTCAATACGGCAAAAATGGACAATGTACCCTTAGAGAACTCAGAAATCAACTACATCTTTATCTGGAGTGAAAAATCACTCATTGAGTTGCAAGTTTAGCCTTCAATAACAGTAACGGGGTCCCTCCAATAATAGCAAGAAGTCCAAGCCAAAATTTTATTTACTGAGGAGGCTGGCCAGTTAGCTCATTTGGTTAGAACGCTGCCTTGTAATGCCAAGGTCAAGGGTTCAGATCCCCATACAGGCCAGCCCCCCAAATAAACCAAAAAATAAAAACCAAACAAAATTTTATTTACTGAGGACTATTTCCCTTTTATCTTTACTTTCATTTTAGCTTGCCTGCACACTGAATATATTTCAAAGCAAAAAAAAACTGGTAGTTGAAATAAAAGTTTACTGAGTACAAAATCATGCTTATAAACTCTGCTGTTAGTTCTACAATCCTCATAACAAATAAATCAATCCATTCCTTTTTTAAACATAACTTTTTAACTTATGAAACAGAAGATGACTGGAGGATTAAACTATAAAAACTTGTTTTAAATAGCTTTGATAACTTCTATCAAGTTCTGATAAATGAAGCTATTAGTAACACATATGATTAAAATAAATTAGTCATTGGAAATATAAACCTACTGAAATACTCTGCATGAGGCAATTCCTCCGTTAAATTCTCAAAGGAACTCATTACTAGTACAGCAATTACAATGGACGAGCTTACAGAAAAAAAATTCTGTGCCAGGAAAAGAAGTGCAATTTTAAAAAAAGTTATTGCTGAGAACTCTAAAAGACAAGCAGCAAGCACTGTGCTCTAGCTATTTAAGATGCATATAATAAAATTCTGCAAACAGTTTCTATAAACAGTTTCGATATGTGGCAATCAAAAAAATTGAAGATACTGGCCAGCTGCCAAAAAAAAAAGAGGGAAGTGTTAAGAAAAACAGTATAAAAAAAGTCAACCGAAAGGGACTGAACAATAAAATACTAAAAGGTAAGTAATCATTTGAATAGAAAATCAGGCTACATTAATATTTCCTTTTTAACATACCCCCTACTCCCAATTAAATTATCATAATCTTGTAAGGCCTGTACTCTTGGTCTGAACAAATTTTTGAGATAAACACTTCTTTTAATTTAGAGGTGTGTCCATTCTCAATGAGTTTGCTTATAAACTATATCTTCCTAAATAATTGCATCTGACTTCAGTGTTCATGAAAGAAGTTTTTTTTTGGCAGCTGGCTGGCAGGGGATCCAAACCCTTGACCTTGGTGTTATAACATAACCAACTGAGCTCATCAGCCAGCCCCGAAAGAAGTTTCTTACTCAGGCAAACACTCAGAGATTTACACTAATATGTGCAACACCCTTTTGAAAAGTCCATATTAGTTCACAAAACAGTAACTGACATGTAACCAAGTCCCTTTTTAACTCCTCCTCGGTCCTGATCAAAAGGCGACTCAATATATTTGCTGTCATTTTCTAGAAAGAGTGATTTCTCTCTCCCTCCAAAAACCATGATTAACTCTTACTGCTTTTATACAGAGAACTGGATCGCTGCAGACATTCTGTTGGATGATAACGGCAGCTACCATTACTGAGTACTTTATTATGTGACAGATGTAGAGCAAGCAGTGTATGTGCACTGCCTCATTTAATTCCTGCAGTAATCCTGTCACGGATGCTAACAGTATCCCCATTGAACAGATGGGGACAATGCCTTTCTGAGAGAATAACTGACTCGTCCAATGGCACATGCCTAAGTCAAAGTAAAGGGATTTGAAATACAGATTAAAGTATGGATAGAATTCTGAAATTCGGCCTTCTATTTAACAATATGAAAACTAAAAAGAGGGTTGGTCTGTTAGCTCAGGTGGTTAGAGCGTGGTGTTATGACACCAAGGTCAAGGGTTTGGATCCTGGCACTGGCTGGCTGTCAAAAAAATAAAAATAAAAAAAAGCAACTCTAACATACTTTTCATTACATCTTCCCACATAATTTAATAAGACCTCTCATTAAGACACAATTCAATTTAAAGAAATTTCAATCCCTTTAATGAGATCCTTTTTTAGGATCCTTGTAATGCAGTACAAAATTTATACTTTAAACTGAATTTCTCTCTACAGTAAATAACATTATACCAAAGCTTAATACGTCTTTTATGAAGAAAAGGATAAAAGCTGAATAGCTATTTATTTAACAACTGTGAAAGAACCACCTGTATTTCATATAAAGAAAACGTGAGCTTTTGGATCTCTTTCAATAAAGACAGTGAAAATGCATTTCCTGTTCAAACACACTTAAAAGCAACTTCTTTAGTTGTTTTTGAGACCAAAAAGATTACATGTAAGAGTATGTTGGTCTGCAAATGGTCCCTTTTAAAATGTCTAGTTGCAAACTTTTAAATGATAAACGTGTCTTTTAAAAATGCTTTTCAAGATCATCTATTTCTTTCCTAAAAGGCCAGCTGTAGGTAACTAAATTAAATGTCCACATCCCACCTGGACACAGTAATACAGAAATACTTAAATATAACCAAACTTTAAAAAAGAGAAACACAAATTAAAAGCCTGGAAATTATCAATAAATGTTCAGTTTCTCTCTGTCAGGATTTCAGGTTGAGGAAGGCCAAGTTAACAGCCAAAGTAGCAGAGTTCCTGATTTCAGTGAGCTCTACTTCCTTGTGAGTTTCAGTTCCACTTCTTTGTCTACTACTCTGCATAAACAAGTCTCCATAAAGACCTAACCTCTCTGAGCTGCAGCTGCCTGATTTGCAAAATTGTGATTCTACCTTTGATATATCACGACACTGTTGCATCAGATAATTCCTTCAAGTTCTTTCTAGCTTAAAGATTTATAAGGCTAAGGTTTTATCTCTCCCTACTATTTAAATCCTTTATACCACTTCATTCTGTTTTTGCTACTTGATTGGCATTTACTCTCAATTTTCCTATTAAAAAATATCAAATAGGGGCTGGCCAGTTAGCACAGTTGGTTAAAGCGTGGTGCTGTTAACACCATGGTCTAGGGTTTGGTCCCTGTACCGGCTAGCTGCCAAAAAAAAAAAAAATTAGGAGAAAAATGATCAAATAGCACCTTTTACCCCATTTAATATTAACAAATGCTTGAGTTTTAATTTTTATCATAAGACTCTCTAAAGAGGTCTAAAGAGAGTCTTTTAAGTATTCTCTATGCATGGGACACAAATTCAAATGCCTCATAGGTAACCTATACATGAACTGTCCACTGTGAGCTAACATGAAGGAAAAAGGCGTCTGGAGACCGAGAAGTACCCACATTGCCTGAATGCATTTAATGTCAAAAAATTGTAAAAGAGCTGGCCAGTTTGCAACTCATTCTATATGGCTACTAAAAAAGGCTTTCAGCCAATAAACTTTTCTCAAGTATAATTTTCATTTTGACACTAAATATTATTGTTTCATTTTTTCCATCCAATTTATGACTTCATTTCAGTAAATATCCATTGGATAAAAACAACTTTCCTGCTTATAGAAATCATTGCCATTTGGACAAAATCTACTTTCCGCTTTTTAGAAAAAATGTACAAATAATCACTTTGGAGCAATTATTATCAAGCATATGAGAGCACTTAGAAATGGGTTTTGTTGTTTATAGAAACTAAACAACAAAGATTTTATCTGTATCTCTGACTTTCCAAACTTTCCAAACTCATGCTTCTCAACTTGTTTGCCATGCTCCCTTTTGACAAACAAAAATCTCAGGCAGGAAATAGATGTATGCAGTTTATATTGTGTTTTTACATAAGTTATTTTTCCGTGGCATTATCTTATGTCATTTCTATTATGGATAAATTAATTAATCAAATACAAAACTGTAATAATTTTGAAAATACAAACACACCACTCAGAAATTATGATATGATCCCCAAGAGGATGTGATCAACCTCCTCTGTAAAAAACACCAATGGAAAATATGTTTACTATAGTAAAATGAGCCTTATGTCAAAGTAAAGTTAAAGAGACCATTTGTTTGAAATGTATTGAAGTTGCCCAAACAACATGATTATAATGATTAAAAATATCATATTAAATAAGAGACCACTTCTTAAAGCAGAAGCTACAAAAAGTTGGAACTGCATTGCTGAAAATAATAAAACTCATCTGCATGAAAGAGAATAAGACATTGCTGACTTTGGGGTTCTAATATGACAAGTTGGAACACATTACCAGGACTTCCTGCTTCCATTTCCGACATGGTTTCCAGGCTTGTTAGGTCTTTATGAAACAGTCGTCTTACAGTTTTGCAGCCTCTTCCATCCTGCCACCTATAACCATCTTCACTCTCTTGAAAGGAGTCTTTTCTTGGTCGGCTTACAACAGGAATTCTAGGTCCAGGTTTGAATTCCCTCCAATTGTCTGAATTACCAATAAGTTCATCAGGTAGCCATCTCTTACTTTGATCTTTGTGGTTGTCATTTATCCAAGGGGGTTGACTGTAAATTGGGTTTTTAAATGCATACGGATTGCTGGAAACAGCATAGGGTCCTTTCCTGGGGGTATTTCCATAGTTCCCTGGTGTTATCTTCTTTTTTTGGAGGCCTTTTTCCATTTTACTGCTATGGCCCTTAGCATAATCATCCATTATTAAATAATCTTGTTGGGGGTGACCCCTTCTGAAATCATCATCATCAACAGTCCCTCGGTCTTTAACGCGCTTCATAAAATAAGGTTTTGCTGCATCTCCCATGATCTTTGACTTCTATTTTCTTACTTTGCACCTAAAAAAGGGAATTTGGGGTAAACATCAAACTATAACAAGATGTACCAAGTACAGAAAATACCATATTTATCGAACAGATGCCAAAAAACCTATAAGAAACTCCTCTTTTCCTTTTTTTAAAAAATAAAATTTCTATAACATTGCTAATAAGTAGTGCATTACACTAGAAGTTAGGAGGTTTGTGGAACTGTAGGTGAACATGTAAAAAAAAAAAAAAGAGGTTTAGACTTATAATATTTTTCATGAAAATCAGTACTTACTATTTCACATGAGGATTAAATCTGTGAATAAGAGAAGCTCCTATAGTCTCGAGAGCTGTAGTACTTACCGTATAGGAAAATGTCACTCATATCCAGTTGGTCGGCTTTCACCTACACGTATAACAAAGCGCTCCTCTTCTAAGAAAACCTCATCCCAAGCCAATGCCTCACAAAGCTCCAGAAACAGTGTTTCTTTCTTTCTTTTTTAAAGTTAGCAACTCCTTTTAAGTGTTATACAAAGTAACCGGGGGCCGACCCTGTGGCGCACTCGGAGAGTGCGGTGCTTGGGTGCGCAGCAGTGCTCCCGCCGCGGGTTCGGGTCCTATATAGGGATGGCGGTTCGCTCACTGGCTGAGCACGGTGCGGGTGACACCAAGCCTAACGGTTGTGATCCCCTTACCGGTCACAAAAAAGACAAAAAAAAAAAAAAAGAACTACAAAGTAACCGGAACTTTCTGCGAACAGAGTAGCTCTCTGCTCTTAATCCCACCTTCCCGCCCCTTCACCACCACTGTCCGGACCTGACAGGCCTCGAACTTCTCTGAGTACGGAGGGGCCTGGCTCCTGACCAAGGA